AAAGCTGTTTTTCTGTACATCAACCCAAAAGTAATGCAGACAAAATGGTTTCATTTCATTTCATGAGGACACCATGTTCTTTGTCACCATGTACACAAATCCCCTGAGACTCAGTTGGCCCTGCGTCCTAGATATGCTATCTTTTGGGTTAGCTGTGCCAAAGCTTCCCATGCATGGGTTTGTGTTGATGTATGGGGGCTACTGAGAGATGACCAGTTCTGTATCTCCATAAAACAAGCATCCATGAACTTGTTGTGCTCCTTTCCTTTTGTGTCTGTTGTGTTCAGGCAGCAGACTTCCAAATAGCTGTGCTCTACAAAAATGGCTACAAAGGGACCGGGGGGACCGCCACGTACTGGTAAGATGGACGAGAAACTGAAGTCCCACAATTCAGAAATTTCCACTGGTGCTCAATAATCCATCAGTACGTGTTTGGGTTCACATTAACACTGTCGTGCTTTTCTTGGGATCCTTACCCTTAATACATATAACTCTATGGCATCAAAGAGACATAGAAAAAAGCTACATTCAGAAATGAGGGCTGTCAGTCTCGACAAAGTAACCAAAGATGTGAACAGGCAGCAACTGCATATACAAACAGATTTCATTATATTTAACTAAATAGAAAATGTTAAAAGAAACAATACCACGCCCCAATAATAACTGAATAATACATATAACAAACAAGAGGCACTATAATGTCAAAAAACAAGTATTGCCTTAACCACCTCCAACTACAAGCAGGCGTCAGTCCTCCTGTATCAGCATGTCGAATTTCTCACAAGAGACTTGCCTGAGGATGTCAGATATCAACCAGGTAGCTGCTTCCAGGGAGAGCCTGACACAACCACCCCCCCATCCCCGCTGAAGCTAATCAGGGGGAAACCACTCCTTGCAGAAATACACACAGGCCGTCATCTTTTCAAGAATGACCAGTCACCTGCCCCTCCCTGCTCTTCGTACGGAGGCAACTCGTTCCAACGCGAACACAAAGGCTGGGTTCAGCTAATGGTCTAAATGGCAGCAGAGCTTCTGGCCACTGTGGCTGGGCCCGGCTGAATGGTCCTCATTGTGTCCCTGTGGTCATAGGGGGCTAAGCAGGCCCGAGTTGTTTTTAAAGAGACCATTTGGCAAGACTGTGTCCTTATCCGGGCAACGCAGGAGCAGGCATTTCCACTTGGTTCTGATGAAGGCCCGTTAGAGCCATGATTAAAAATGACTGATGAAGTGGTGACACGAGGCATGCATGAAGTCATAAGGGAACAATGAGGCGTATAAAGTAAAATACAGTAAACACTCAAATATCAAGTCAACATAACTGGTTAAGGAAACATGCACTAAATGCCTTAAAGCGGGGAGCTAAAAGGCTGTTTAGCAACCAGCTCTCAAACCTGGCATATCTCAGGAGCATTGTAACACTTTTGTGCACTTTGAAGAATAAAGGCTTAAAGCATTCATGACCCCTGGCAAAAACATGCATAACCACAACACTGGACACAAGTCAGCCAACGCTCTGAAACTCATCTGTAACACATAACATGCCAGAGGTCAAGTGTGCAAAACATCTGAAGATGTTCTAATATGACTGTAATTACCATTAACTGATATACTTCAGAAAATATATCAGTGATTTTTCAAAAAGTAAAACACACGTTGCCAGCAACAAAAACTGGATATGATGATGCTGTTCATGCGTTTGCTGACCACCATCTTCGAAAAGTGAGCAGCATTTCAGCCATTTCCTTTAGCCGAATGTTAGTGCAGGAGTGGAGGATCAGACAGAGAGCTGGTGGGAATGGTGGATGTCTATCAGTCCAGATGCAATATCCATAATAAGCAATTACACAAATGGAATAACAGCTTTACTAAATCTGATACTGTGCCTTTCAGAGTGTCGAGCTACTGTGGAATAATCCAGTTCAAATTTGATCCGTGTGAAGCTACATCCCAACCGACTTGTTTTCTGTCGAGGCGATCTCGAGTACAGCTTCTGAAATAACCTTGATGGTCTATAATGACAAGCATAACAACATCTGATCAAAACTAATGCGGGTGGGAAAAAAAAGTGAGATCACCAAATGACGCAGTGCAACTATAAGTGAAAGAGACACCTTTATGCAGCAGAAAACACAACTTAGAAGTTTTGTAAAGATAATACAGCATCATGGTGACAGCAAGATCAAATGCCAGAGGAAGCAAAGCAATAGGAAATACCTGTCTAGACAACAGGGATGCCATCCAAAGGGGATGTAGTTTGTTGGTGTAGTTTTCAGACAATCTAATGCATGTGTGTCATACAAGTTTGCTCATATTCCAACACATGATGCTGATGTTGGAAAACTGAAACCAGCTTTTCCAAAAGTGTCCATTTCAGAGGCCCTGGAATGCTAACGGTGTGGTTACAGGGCACAGATGTGTCAAGAATCCATGTTTATGGGCCTTAACTTTAGTAGTTTGGGTTTTTCAGCTGTTCATTGTAGTCAGGGTGTTTACCCACATCCCGGTCACTTCGTAGTTTTTGTCACATCACAGATTCAGCTCAGAGGACAACTACTCACCTCATCTATTATCTTAAACCAGGACTCAAAATCCATTTTCAATTTGCCAGAGAATCAGGAAATCTACACTTCTTTGCCTTTTTGCTTTGCATTAATGGTCTAGTTCTTATCAGAGCAGTTATAATGGATATCACAAAGAAGGTACATTTTTGTCCCCCTGGTGATTGAGAATATCTCCAGAAATGAACTTTTCATCTCTCCTCTCACAGATATTAGAAATTGTAGTTTTCAGTTCCTAACAGAAAATAGGATTATATGAAAATTTGAGTTAATACAACTTGGAACGCCAGTAAAATGTTGGCCATTAAACAGCTGCTGTCTTGTTTGCTATAAAACAAAAACAAAAAGTACAGAAATGAAAGTGAAGCCCAGAGTTTATTGAGCTGCCATGAGACAGTGGAATGACAAAGGGATTTTTAACAGCTGACTTGCTGGTAAGTTAACGTCAGCATTCTTAGCTACGAAGCATTTTTCCGGTGAGTCAATGCATAACTCACAGCAAGATTGTGTTTGAGAGGGGTCAGTTAAAACCGTCCTGTACACGGACTGACACAGAAAGAAATGCAAGTGTCTGAAGAAGAAAAAAAGCAACCAGATAAGTATTTTTCTAAGCTTCATTAGTGGTTGAGTGAGCTCTCAAACTAGGCACTGTGTGCTGTCTCACAGGTTAACACCGAATTCAGAGGATTAGTAAGTGTAATTTGTCTTAATATAAAGTTTGAATGGGCATTCAAAGGTGTACATAGATCTCTGAATACATATCTTAAAGCAAGAGAGGGCTGGAGTCCACCTTAATGGCTCACTCCAACCAAACTTTGTTAAGAACCTGATTAAAAAGTATTCACTTGTAGAGAAAAAAAGGGCCATAACTTAGGGTTTCACAGATGAATGGTTGTTTTCACCAGAGACATAAAGCTTCCTCAGATCTAAAGGCGTACTTCAAACAGAATTAAGGCTTTTCCTAAACTGTTTTAGGTAACATTATGCAATTAGGAATAGGACAAGTAAGAGAAACAGGGCGGGCGTGGATTCTGAGTCATCCAGGTCATGGTAATCTTAAGAGCTTCAATTGGACTTCCGCTTGTTGGACCCAACAAGAGGAAGTGTAGGTGTATAAGTCCAGATGGTGTACTCGTCTTTTATATAAATACCATCACTGTCTGCTTCTTTTACACTGCTAGGCTATCCTTTCTGAAAGGGCTTTTATCTCAAGCAAGTCTGAAATCATCATTAAGTGTTGGCGTTCAGAGTCTGCCATGGGGGGGGGGAGGGATAATATCAAATGTTTGCTGTCAGGAATAATTATCTTATCCCTGTTTTGCTCACACCATGGATATGAAGACTTTAGATGGTCATGGTACAGGATAATTGGACTAAGCTGGATGTACACCGCCTTGCTGACATCAAGCCGACCGGAGATGGGTGACAGTGTGTCATTAGTGGTGTAGAGGGGCTAAACAGCTGCTCTGGGGGAGGGGCTGACTTCAGCTATGCCTAGGTTGGATGAATGAATTGGAAACCAAAAATACACACATAAACATGAATCACCTTCATCAGATGACACCGATATTTAAAAAAAATGCTGGACTTAAAAAGAAAAAAGACGGGTTGTGAGCAGCACAGGTAGATCAGCCTATAATTATGCAAATGGAGGGTTTGCACAGGTGTATCAGATGTTTATATCATCACTCCAGTGAATGTGGCTCAACACTCTCGTCAGGCTGCATTTTCACAGCAGACGGTGACTGAGGGCCTGCAGTCATTACATGTCAACACTAATCACTGTGACTCACGGCTTTCCAGCCATAAAACCTCTCTAAAGCGGAAACTTAAACACACACACACCCTGTCAGAAGCTCCAACACTGTTCCGCTGGACCAATATAAGGTCACGGATGAAAAAAAACACACACACACACATAAAAACACACGTACACGCACAAACACACAAAGCACGATGAACCAAGGTGACAAGAGCAAGGTCCAGCCTTGAACGCCAGAGCCTGCCTGTGGGGCCGTCGGTGTCAGACAGACCCCCACAATGAGCCCTGGCTTTGGGTTCCACTCGCCGGAGCCAAAGCGAGGAGACACGGAACAGTACCCGCCTGTAACACACAACGTGTTGGCGTGGAGGAAAAAGGAAATAAGGTGAAACGGATGAAAGGTTCTCGGCACTCCTCCGGGCACAATGCTGCTTGTCATGCACTGCTAGCTCCTGTGCCCACATCCTCCGTTAGCTCCAAACTAGCTAGGTGCCACAGTCTGTCCGCCTCGCGCGAGCTCCTCACTCAATTCAGTGTGAGGGGGGAAAGTCAATCAGGAGGATGAGGAGAAGAGATTTACACCGAGCCGGTGAATACACACAGCTGAGGATCACACCAAGCTAGCTTGAAATTCTGCCATAGCATCCCACCCAGCTATCAGCCCCCCTCCCCTGGTTTACCTTCAGACAGCTCCAGATCCAACTCCGCCAACTGGTCTCTAACCTCCTTTGGCAGGGCGGACAAATCCACGCCGCGGTCCGCCATGATTTCGCTGAGAAACACGAGTACAGTCTAGTTGAAAAGAGACCTGGCTGTCGTGGGTGAAGGTTCAAAAACAAAAATAAAACCCCTCCACTCAAGACGCGAAACAAGCATCAATGTGGGAGAGACGGTCCATCCGCACGGCTGTCCCTTCCGCCATGATGGGGGGGGGGGGACGACGACTCATCAACGGCAGCGCGGGATCACGTGACCGCCTTTACCTCACCTCGCCTCCCTTGCTGCCTCACCGCATCTGAGCCCGCCTCCACTCCGGGGCTGCTGCGCCCCCTGGCGCCACAGCGGCGAAAACGCACACGTTTTCAGTTGTAGAAAAAAATAATTCTGCTGTTATTCTTAACTTTTGTACACAGGCAATCACACCCACTGGATCCACAAAGGGGACTTTATGCATTCTCGCGAAATGCATACGGGGGGGTGGGGGGGGGTCACCCTCACAGCTGCAACCAGCAAATGTGTGTCAGACAGAGGTGGAAAATGAGACTGTGAAATACTGTTTGATGTCTTAACAAAGTTAAGCCTGTTCAAATAACCATGCGTGAATCCATTAGCACAGGCTGGCTACAGTGGACAGAATTAGTTCATATGACTTGTCTTAAAATTATTTTAGATATGCCCCAAAAATGTTTTACATGTAAATGTAAAATGTAATGTAAATATAAGGACAAACTAAAATGACTTAAAAAAAAACACCAACATCAGAGTAATTCCAGCGCCAAAGCCAAAATAAATTAATCAGAATACCACAAGTAATGTCTATTTCATGCAACATATGCAGTAGACAGATCTGAGGGAAAAAGGGGCCGTGCAGGCCCCAACAAATGCCCCATGGGCGTTTCCTTGATCCCTTTGCTGGATTGAGGGCTTTTTTTCACTGTCCCAAATGTTAAATATGAATTGTAAAAGCACTAACAGATGCTCTACTACACTCTTCCAGCCACATTCTCAGCAACTGGAGCCCATTTACAAAAAAAAATGTAATGTTTTTTTTTTCCTTATGAGAAAAATCAACATAGTTCTTCACAGAAAACCATCTTCAAAGGAAACTGAACAGAACAACATATTTTGAGGCTGTTGTCCTTTCCGCAATTTAAGATACTTCAGTTTAGAGAAAAAATATTAAATCGAAAACATGACCAGAACAGGAAGGTCCCTAACACTAAGATTTCAGATTGTGAGCCCAAGCTTCTTCAGGCTTTCCGAATATTCTGAGCAAAGTGCAATGTTTAATAAACTGTTGACTTATTTGAATAATGTCATATCTTCACGGATTTGACATGATGTACTCCTGTGTCACAACAGCATTAGCTGGCACTGAAGAGGCTTAGAATCCATTTGAAATAGTATAAAAACATGAATTTACAACCAAAAACACTAACAAGAGTACTTAACAATAAATGTTTTGTTGCACACTGCAATCATTCATATTCAAAAAGGGACCCAAAAACACACAGGTGATCTTCACAAAGGACACATGTAGATGCTACATAGGACCAAAGTCTATCTCTTTAAATTATGTAAAAGCAATTTCAGAGGATTCATTGTCAGTGTGAGTCAAGCTGAAGAGGCAAAACAATGTGGCATTCATTAAGATGTAGTTTCTTTAATTAAAACTGCAGCACTGTAAGTGTTTGTTGTATTCCACTTGGACATGCATGGAAAAGTATATATATTCATATAGTACAGATATGTACAGTACAAGATTTTTTTTTATGCAATCGTCAGTCCAACAATGGGAGTGTGAAAAACCATTAATATTCTGAGTGAAACTTTCGCATCTTTTAAAACGAACTTCTCTTTTGACAACTGAAACCGAAAAAGGGCCAAAGACAGAACTGGATTTTGTAATTTGACCAATTAAAAAAATATATTAATAAGTTAGACAAGGACACGACCCAATTTCATCTAAAAAATGTATAACAAAATGTGGTAACATTCCTTTTTTGAAAAAATATCTTTCTTTAGAGAAAACAAACAGAACAACTCTGTGTTAAAGAAATTAGTCTCTATTTTCATCAGTACAACCGAAAAATCTTTGAGAGATTGAATAGTGCTGAAAACAGCACACCACAAAAAGAAAAAAAAAGGTGCCCAAGACACAAATGACACAAAAATATGAACACTAAATATAGTTTGAATTTTCATTTCATATGAATAATCGTCTATATGGGACCACCAGCTAAATATATAGGGCTGGCGAGTACAACAAAATGCCACGGTCGCCATTGGGACTGTAGGATGAGAGAGAGGATCAGTCTATGGGTAAGGTATTAAAGTCGCTTCGCTAATTCCCATTTGTGTATACAGTAAGGAAAAAACATTGTGGGGAAAAAAAGTCTGATTTGGGAGCAAAAAGAAAAAAGGGCCACGAGGACGAGAGCTGCGAAACCTTGAACAAACCTGCAGAAATACAAAGCAACGATTACCTCTCATTCCATTAGTGCATACAGATGTCCTTATGATTACAGACAGACATCCTGCTTTTCAGATATCGCATCTTGTAAGTATATGATCATAAACAAAGGGAAGACGAACATACAAGAAAAGGAAAACAAAACAAGAAAACAGAAAAACTTGCTTCAGAGTTTATGCCAAAAAAAAAGAAAACAATAACAGGTATATCGTCATCTGAATAAAATATCTTGGAGCCTTTCAGAAACAGTCACAAGATGTCTCTGCCCTTAAAGCTTTGACCGCTAAGAATGTCTTTGTGGCGTTCCTCCACCAGATGACAGGCAAGAACTGTCCCACTTACTACACGTTTTCTTTCGCAGAGACTTGTGAGTTAAGTAAGGACTAAATTTGAAGGCTTTGAGGAAACTCAGCAAAGTTATTGGACCTTTTTGTTCCTCATTGGCTGTTTTTCATTTGATGACCTGAATTAAGACAAGTGTATTTCTTCCTCCTACCAGCTCTGTCATGTGTTTTTTTTCTCCCAAATCTCTACATATCAACACGGGGATACTGGAGGCACCAATGTGATCTTAAGGCAAAATATCCTCAAATGTGTGTGAGACTGTGTCTAAGTGCAATAAACGAGCAGTGACAAGCTGGAGACTGTGTTTCTATAACCTCTGCATCACAAAATAACAGTCAGGCTTTTTGATTCCTGTTTCACAACAAGTATAAAGTGGTCTTTGGAGATCCAGATATCAGGTGTATTGTCATATATGGCTTGTTTAGGTTTGGTAAAGACCAAAGAGACTAAAAAGGGTTTGTCGCACTTCCAACGAGCAGCAAGGACATGCAACCATCCTGAGAAGTGTGTGAAAATAACAGTTACACCAAGTCCAGGACCCACACACGGGAACACAGTCATGAGAGTAAATTTCATATAAAATACAAAAGGCAACACACTTACAAACCAGCTGAGCATCCCACCTATTTCAAATCTCTACTTTAAAAAAGTGTGAAGGATGGGAGGGACTTAATTCCCCTCAAGTTAAATGGGAAATTTGTAGATTTGACATATTTTAAGTTCTGTGAATCTGGAAAGATGTGCCAATTATTTTAATATATATATCTATATATATATATCTATATATATGTAGCTGCACATACATTATCAGTACATTACACTCATTTAGAAAAAGTTGCATGCTAACAATCCAGATAATGATGCGTCAGATTAGGAGGAGGCAAACTGCTATGTTCTGGTGTTCATAAATAGAAAACTCACACACCTAACACATTTTATCATAAAGGGTCTGAAATGAGGTAAGGTTTCTGGGTCCATGTTGACATTAGCCTTTAAGTGGAACCACTTGCAAAAGGTGGAGAACTGGGATATGAATGTCTATGTCAGAGAACTAATATTGCACCTTCTGAGCTAAAGATGTGTTGGGGAACGCTTTGTGATGGTGTGTGTGGGTGTGAGCGTGGCTAAAAAGGCGAGGAGCAAAAGGCGCCGTTCCTTGCTGGAGACGGCGTGCGTCCCGGTGTGTTGCCTGGTGTCGGCTTTGATCCAACACGTCCGTGTAACACTGGGGTGTTTGAAAACCGTGCGCGAGTGCGTGAGAGGTTCAGACGGGCAGTTCATCATGGCAGAGTACTCGACGCAGGCCCTTACAGTCCGATGAAAAGTCCTTTTGAAAGAGGCCGAGGGCAGGTGAGTAAGAGGGATATTGGAGTCCAGCCCCTGTAGTCTGTGGCAAAGTGAACAGGAAGCTCTCTCAAAGGTTTCAGTCCATTACCAGAAGGCTGCTGCTGAGCTCCAGGCCACAGCATGATGGCTCCATGGGAAGGTTCAGAATGGGGACAGACAAGAGGGGGAGCGGGGTGGGGCTGTGAAATCTGGACTTTAAGGTCAGGGACGTTGGGAGTCTTTTCTACCCCTGGGCGATGAGCCGAGTCTGGGCCATGGTGGCGCTGCTCATCATCTGGCGGCAGATTGAGACTGTGCAGCCATGATAATGTGAGAGGGTCCGCCCTCAGACCTCTGCTGCTGGCCCATTCCTGCCAGCACGGACATTGCCATGGCCTCAGCTGCTGCCCTTGAGCTCAGGCCATTTTGGCCTGCAGAGGGGCTGGGCGCCAAAGAACTGTGCTGAATCACTGGGGCCGGGGAACCTGTGGTCTCCGAGTTGTCTTTCATGCTCTCGTCTGCAGCGTCAGAGGAAATACAGGCGACAAAGGTCAACATTTACAAATAAACAAGCAAAGATAAACCATTTAGAATCTTCAACATCTTCCATAGTAATATATTTCCCCATTTGGTTTGTACCTAAGCTGTTCAACAACATTTCCTAGTTCAAAACAGATTTTTCAGCAGGACTTGTGTGAAAACGTATCAGCACCGTCACAAATTTATGTCATTCACAGCTCTCAAACAAACGATTTTTTTCAGTCTCCTAATGCAAAGTCCCATTCCCTGGTCTGAGCTGGTAACTACCCTTTTACAGGAATTAACCACTAGCTGAACATGACACTAAGCTTGAAAAAACCAAGAGCTTTCTGTTACAGGAAGAAAAAAAAAGAGAAAACCATAACAGCTTCATTCATGTTTGACTCTTTTAATAGTATGTTTTAGAAAATGTATAGAAAAAGTGCCTGAACAGCTTCAGATGTATCTCACCAGATGTATCTCTGCAAAATTCTTTCCACCTTTCGTCTAAAGATGACTTTGCGAGTACCAAGGCATGCTGGCCAGCGGCTCACCTAAGTAGGCGCTCTTCTTCTGTAGGGTGGTTACAGGACAGTCCTTGTGGGCCAGCAGCAGCTGCTTCAAATGAGCCACTTCATTCCGTAGGAGAGACACCTCGTTCTGATAAAGCAGAAAATCAGATCGATGCTGAGTGACGAAACAAATGAACAAGGAGAAACACCTGCGCCAGAGGGCAGCGTGTTTGCTCCAGTCCTGAACAGCTGACATCAGGCACACAGAGAATAACTGAGAAGAACATGTAAACGCAAAAAATCGAAAAAAATAAACACTTGTTTGAAGACATCAATTTTACGTTATGCCTTCCTAAAAATACCCAGTATTTCTTCCCCAGAACCCACCAGCTGAACTTTCCAAACTAGCTTGAAGGTTTTGAGCTTACATCACATGTCGTCCCTTCCCGCCCACTCCAAGCCCACTCACCGACAGCGAGACGTTCAGAGAGCTGAGCTCCTCAGCCTTCTTCTCCAGAGAACTGACCCACAGTTTGCGCTTCTGTCTGCAGCGTGATGCCGCCGCCCGATTCCTCTCCAGGAAGCGCTGCCTCCGTTCATCTGGGTCGTCGTCTGCTGTCCGCCGCCGACGCCCACCTGTGGGCTGAGCGGGAGATACCTGCAGGGAGAGGAGCGGGAGAGGTCAGACGGAGACAGGCAGACAGGCGATGGAATGGAGGGAGAACAAGAACGGAAAAAAGGGAAGCTTGAGTCAGAGTTTCATTATTTAAAGCCAGCAACATATAACAGTCATCTCAGTTCAAGAAGTGTGGTGAACATTTTCTGGAACTTCACCAGGTTATCACCAAAGGATAAAACCGTGGAAAGCCTCAGCAAATGAAGCTCCTTTTTGTTATACAAAGAAGAAGGTACGCTGGGTACCTGAGGCTGTGCAGGTGACGGAGCATCTGGCTGCTGGACAAGCAGCTGGCTCTGCTCCGCCCTTTGAGGGACCATGGGGCTGCTGCTCATGGCCATGACACCCATACTGTGCCCCGATGGGCTCTGCTGGGACAGTGCAGCCTTCAGACGCTACAAGGGATCAGTTATATGGCCAATATCAGTGACAAGTACAGGAATTACAATTCACAGTCCCAAGTATGAACAAACTATAAACAATGATTGCAGAGATGGGTACATCATTTGTTATGTCATGTTCAAACCTTCCTTATTCATATCCATCCAGCCATTATCCTTACTGCTTATTCCTGATGAGGTCATGGACCTTTATTTAAAGTTTTTTCTAAATTAACTTGGAATAAGAGTGAGACATTTTTGGCAGTTTTGGAAAAAAATGCTCAATTCTGATCCATCTCAGTCTGGTTGTGCGTAGGTCTGACTTTAAACAGAATCTGTGGAAGAGGCTGCTCATCGTTTATGGTACTGCTTTGCATTGGTCCACGAGCCATTCGGCAAAACAAGGGACTGTGATGCAAAAGGCAAACACCTAGCCCAGCAGACCATTAACATATACCCACCAAGACAGTGATCATTTTTTACAAAAAGATTGAAAACTAAATTTAACTAAACTAATGGTCTACCACTTAAAGTTAGAGGAAATAGACACTTTGAACTAAAGGACAAATCTGCTAAAAATGCCAACACGCTCAGTTTAATCTGAAACCACGAGTAAAATGATTCCTTATCAGTGTGTTTTGGTTCTTACAAATACAGCTTCAAGAGTGCTGTTAAGCGTAAGAGTTAAATAACAAAGTTCCTGCAGCTAAAAGTCATATGATGAGCAAACCAAGCTGGGGCAAACAAAGTCTTGAGGGTGAAGATGAAGAAAAGCAGAACAGATAAAGAGATAAAAATAGAGAGCTAATCTTGGGCTGACCATCTTGGCCTCTGAGTGGATGCTGTAGCCAGAGGGGGAGTTTGAGCCACTGCTGCTGCCTCCCAGAGGGGGACCAGGGATCCCAGGAATGTTGGGTACCATGCACATGGGTCGAGCCAGCTGGAGACCAAACGAGATGCATAAATGTATATAGATTAACGCTTAAGCGGCCGTTTCATTGTGGGTTTGAGACACAGCAAACTTACATTGATGACAGAGGGAATATGCCCCGGACCAGGGAGGACGGGCACTGCCTGACCAGAGGGAAGCATCATCATTGGGTAATGGCTAGTTGGTGAACTAGAAAGCAAAACCAAGAAAAATGTAATCATATTTGTATAAATTAACACATACAGTCACCGTCAGAATACATTTAAATAAAATGTAAACATAAAAATGCTTGCATTTTTCATTCATTTAGGTGAAAATTTTGATAAATTCACAAAACAATTCATGTAATTCTATATTTAAAACCAAGGAAGCATGACAGCCTTTTAAAACTTTCCCTTTCTCTTAAGCGTCAAAGCAGGAACTGAGGACCCTTACAGCTCTGAAAATAACATAAAATCTAACAGATTTAAATATCATCTGTTGCGTTTCCTCATTATAACACAGGGGTGATGTGCGGTAACATTACTTAGTCCAAACCAACACATCCAGTAATGCGCCTTCTGTCCAATTCTGGCCAAAGACGCATAATTATTTCCACCAATTTAAGGCTCACCTTCGATTGCGTCACTTCAGTTTTACTGGCTGAGGACAGAAGAATGTGTTCCCCGAACACACAAACTATGGCTAATGATTGAATGATAATGAAAAAAGCTCCCCGGTTCCCTGTATTTATCAAAAAAGTAGCCACTAACCCTTTGATTTGAAAGGTTCACACAGAAGAACACAGACACCATGTTGTTGGGTTGTCACAACATTGGCAAAAGTGTTTTAAACGAGCCTTAAAGGTATTTTAGCCATGATTTAAATGACAAACTGAGATCAAACTGAGATTAGCACAGGTCAGCAGCAGGATGCTAAATGTTACTCACCCCAGAGTGCGATTCGAGGGTGGCGCCTGTGTGATGACAGAGGTGGGCGAAGGCATGGTTGGCTGAAGAGCATCAAAGCCCAAGTGTAGCGGAAGGGAACCTGGACGCACAATAGTTGGGGTGGGGGCTGAATTCCTCGGTGGCGTGTCCTAAGAGATTAGCAATGAAGCTATGTAAAGTCCTCACAAAAACAAGAAATACATCACTAAAGCGGCATCATAGTGATGCAGCGACCACGATGACAAATGATGAGATGCACTTTTTTTAAATCCATCTGTTCCAAACTCTTGAGCAACCCCTCCCCGTTAAGTACCTTTCCTTTAACTGCAGACTCGAGGCTGCTGTCTGAATTCCCAGATATCGATTCAGGGCTGTCCGGTGGCGAGGAGTCAACTTCTACAGGATCCTCCTCCTTCACCTTCGGCTCTGATGGTGTCTGCAGGCTCATGTCCAGAGCCACAGAGCTGCCAGCGGGGAGCTGACAAGAGATAAAGAAATACAAAGACATTTTTCAAATGGCAAATACCCAGAAAAAGGAAGTTGGTATTCATCACACACACCAAAAAGTCATAGTTCACTATTTTAGGAGTGCAATAAAACACAGAAACATCTGAAAAAAGTCAGCTGAAATTCAAATGATGCATAAACAAAGTGTACAAGACAGGAACTTCTAGCTGGAGTTTTTATTTAAATCAGGCGTAACAGAATAAAGTAAAGCACTTTTTTCATTTCAAACACATCTTTGCAAAAAATGTCCCCGCTTCTGAACAGAGTAAAACATGCAGAGTGGCACGCAGAGGACATCACCAGCGTCCCAGAGCATTCTTACAGAATTTTTGGCCCTCTTTTCTTCATCATCTTGTTCAAACGAGCTGGCCAGCTCATTAAACAAACCAACTTCCTCGCAGTTTTTCAGGAAGCGGGTGGGGGTTGGTGTCTGATCTGGGAAAATACAATGATAATGAAAGAGATGACTGTTCAAACAACACTTTCACACTTAGTTCACACTTAGCACGGGGTATAGAAACCCATGTACTGTATAATCTTAGCGCACAGTGACTATGTGGCATGCTAAACAGCCACCATCTGAGTACTGACATATTCAGCAACATGGTGCAGGGAGGCAGCAGTACCTGCTATGATAACAGAGTCGGTCCTGGCTGGTCCAAATTTCAGGGTCATCTCATGTTTGTGTTTGTGTACCGCCAAATGGTCCTCATTGGTAAACCTCTGCAACAATGGAAGAAGGAGAAAAAAGACGAGAATATGACATCAATCACCCAACAGGTCCCAGTAACTCTGTCCCGGTGATCAAGGAGCCGGCCTATATTACTTTAACCTAAATATCGTATTGCTGTAATCACATACAGATGTAACACGGCACATGAAGTCTGCACATAAAGAACTAATAGACAAAAAACAGAGAAATCTGTGTAAGACAATTCAGGCCCAGCATATGAACCATTATAGCCAGAGGATAAAGGCTTGAATAACCTAACAACTGGAAGCTTGGAGATTTTAACTCAAAATGTTAGCCAAACAAAAGGCTGGTGTGTGAGAAGGCTGCTTGAACAGGATATAAATGTAGAAAAATGAGATAGGGGAATGGGCGTGAAAAAACAAAGTTTAACTCACTGCTGTCAGCCAGGCCGGCGTGTAAAACATAAGGATACGCTAAACTGTGGCTTCTCTGTCATCCGTGCCATGTTCCTTCCTATCGAGTATCCCCATTAGAAGCTGCACGAGCCCTGGCATCGGACTCATCAAGACTTATAGACGAAGGCACTCGATGCCATCCTCGCAGACGCGGAACGTCTTCTTTTGAGAAGTGGCAATGTGATTCACTCGGAGACGTAGGAGGAATAATCTTGGCTTTGACAGCGGTCTATTCACCATTCACTGCAGCCTATTTTAGGGCGCCGCGGCACAGTTGCGAGTTCAGTTGCGAGAGTGAAGTGGAAACACAGTCAAGTGTCAGGAGCCTTATTTTTAGCCCAGCCAGAAAGCATCACCAAAAAGACTGCATGTCTCATCTGTCTCTTTCCTCTGCACAAGGCCACTGGATCCTATGGAGGAAACTATCTCCAACTAATCTCCCAGCGACAGATAATGGAAGCAAGGGGTTCTCCTTAACCCCTGCAATAAATACTGAGGATCATATGAACACATATGAGTGGGGGGGGGTTGTTTTTGTTGTTGATGTTAACTTGGTAAGAGGAAAACCCTGAGCAAAGCCAAAAGTCAATCATCCCTGTTCTATTATGGGCATGAATCAGACTTTCCTGGTAGACAACTGTTGCTTGTAAAGGGCAACAGTAAACCAGCTTTTGAACATTAAGACCTTTAGACATTTGGGAAGTTCTGTTTCAAACAGAAAAGGGTATTAGCACACATATCTTCGGAGGCATCTTTGGAGATTTTTAAAGCAGAGCAGAGTATTATTTCACAAGAAAGTAACTTTAGACTTGGATTTGCAGCCACTTCTGTTTACGTGCCACAAAGTAGCGCCATGTTGTGATGTTAAAAAAAGACACGCAAAAGTTTAGCGCCATACTACAACTCCAGAGCTGTTTAGTTTGACACTCAAACAAGACTGCTCACAGAAGCACAGCTGCAGACCTGCTCCGTCATCGTGGCCACCTCGCCTCGTGAACCTCTTTTAAACTACTTACTCAATTAATAATGGAATTTCGAATGAAACATGCACAGTATTTACATGTCAAACCAAAGACAGACCCCCCCCCCCACCTCCCCGGTGCCCGTGACGACGGGAGGAGCAAATTATGCTGATTATTATTTATTTATCAAACATGCATGTTTGATATATACCTTAAGCTATGGACAGCCACATTTTTCACAGCCACCTAAGCACTTTCATCCTGCACACCACAGGGGAGGGAATACAGTAGAAAAAACTAAAAATATATACATTTTTTCCCTATACTGAATAACTGTCACACTCGGAGCTTACTTCTTATCGTTTCAGCTTTTTCTTGTCCATGACGGAGCGGAGCCACAAAAAAGAGTGCACCGTGTAAGCGGCGTGTGAGCTGAGTACTCAGCTGAGTCACTGCCATGGCTCAAACCTGTGTCTGCAGGCGCTCCACAGTTAGCAGTGACAGGTTGAAACAATAACCGTGCTCTGATTACTCACCGGAGCCTCCCGTGAGTCATTGCAAAAGGAGACAGCACTGTCTCACAAAAGCATGTTCGGAAGAACATTGCTGGTGTGAAGTCCATTATAACCGCTGCCTGATTTTAGTTAGTTTTCCGCTTGGTTGGTTACGTTTTGTTCAGTTTTTTTTTAAGAATCAAACGGTTTCAACTGCATAAATCTGCTTCCAGACACAAATAGCGTAAATATAACAATAATCTTGAAAACAAACAAAAACAGATTCTCTGCCACACACACACATCCACACACCTGAAAGCCAGGAAAGATTCGGAGAGGACTTACCTGTCCACAGCCAGGAGCATTGCACACAAAAGGTCTGTCGTCACCCATTTTTGAAAAGAGCTTGCAATGTAGCTGTGGGAGAGGAGAAGAGGAGAACATTGCTGTAGCTTTTTCTCGATCCGTGAACGGGCAAATCCTGAGGAAAACAAAACAGGGATGCTGCGGCTTGTAGTCTTTAGTCTGAGCAGGAAGCCGAGCGCTTTTTAAAAATAACCCTGGCACAGAGGGAAACATGCACAGAGGCAGCGAGAAGAAGTTTCCCTGGTGATACTTCCTTCACACTGAGGGGCTTCTGGTTGGCCAATGAGGAGCTGCTTACAGGAGAGGACAACAGCTACCATGTACACAAAGGCATCTCCCTCTCCTTCCTTTTCATTTGCCTTCAGGTCCAGTCCCTCCTTCTCTCGTTACCACTCCCTCTCTTCACCTCTCCGGCACCTTCCCAACTGTATCCTTCTGGCGGCCCTCACTCGGTGTCTGCTGCTCTGATTCAGCTGGTTCAATCGGCTGACGGTCAATGTTTCATCTACGTATCCTATTTCTGAGGACTCCCATGTGAATCCACGACACAGACATCCTGCACGGGGCCGAGTGGGCTCGCTCACACTGACCTGACTGTCCCTCACTAGCACCTCTTCTAGCGGTTAGGACGGTACAAACAAACAGCAACCATGTCATGAGAAGTTCAGAACGGCCACTGATGCTTGGGACAATAACACAGGCACTGGTAAACATATGCATATGAAAACTTCTGTCTACTGCTGAAGTTGTTGAAGCAGGTTCAGTGTTCAGCAATTCGCTTGAAATATTCTGCAAAAAATATCAAAGCAGCTTTGTTTTCCAGAACAAAGCACTTCATGACAAACAATGTCAACAATATGGAATGAACGTCCTTTCCATTGTGTGATTCGAATCCTGCCATGGGAGCAGCAACACCGAAACAGCTTCCACCTGGAAACCATTGGGATCGTTTCTCAGATCTTTAGCCAGTAAAGCAGATCGTCGCTCTTGAAACCAGATTGGAAGAACCAGGCTAATGTTTGTCATAGTGTTACACCATGATTCCAGCTTCATGTATCACAAACATCTAAAATGGACATCCAACTTGGGGCCAAAACATTCTTTTTTGGGGGGGGAGAATAAAACATGAACTCAAGCCAAGCTAAACTGAGATATTTTAATGAAATAACATCAAACTATCCACTGTGATTTATCATGATGCAAAGTCACTTGTATGCATATTCTTTAAGAATAATGTCTAAAACCTCTGCCGCCACTTTTTGGACAGTATGACACTGGCAGAATATGAAAGTATATAATCAAGGGTCATGGTTAAGATTGAGTATTTTGGGTGTGTCCAGAAATGATAACGATGACTCATTTTTACCACTGCTTTTGAGAGGTATCAATGTAAGACGATTACATTTATGCAACTCATCACATTCCTGATGTTATACTTTATAACGACGACATGAGAATATGTTCTTCTGCAGAGGCAGAAATATAAGAAAGTCAAAATAGAGGCCCATAAGGGGTACGTCTGTGGGACACAGCGAACACCTTCCAAACTTTCCACTGAGTTCCAAATACTCTTCATCTTTCCGCTATTGAGTAAATGGCTGTGTAAAGTTTTAAATATTCACAAGCTCCTCTTTGCCGTCTCTTCCTGTTGTGCTCCAGCTGGAGAGACACAAACTATGGCTGAGCATCGCTTGCTGCAACTCAACCCCAAAAACCCGTCTCCAGCAAGCCGCCCCACCCCGCCCTGCTCTGCTCCGCACAGCTAGACAAAACTCCTTGTAAAGACAAGCTGGAGAGTTGAAAAGAGAAAGAAAAAAAATAAACTCATTAAATCTAAATCAGGGAATTGTTGGGAGGGCTGACATGAATGTTTCAGCACACTCAGCTGGCCCACAGTGACGTCTAGCAGCCATATTACGCAACGCCGTCCCCCCATCAGAGCAGCAGTGACAGACGGGCATGAAGCACCTTGTTGTGTAGAAAAGTAGAAGCACATAAAACAATTAAGCTCACACTATAGACGGTCAAGTGCACTTGTAAGCAGAGATCCTGTCATAGGGACACCAGGCCTTCAAAATGCTCATCCAACATGTCCTTTGTGTCTCACCGTCATAACTTTCACTTTCAGGGTGTTGATTTATCATGGCTGCGTCAGTAAACTGCTGTTTAAACCTGTTTGGTCTAAAACACTGCTTGGACTGTTCAAATGTGCAGATGTCCAAACATCTGGAAAGCTATTTGAATTAAAAGTAGTTGATTCAACTTTTATCACTTATATTCCTCTCAGCTATAGTGCAAATCCTACATGGGTTGAGCACATCACTTAACATTATTGAGTGGGACAGATTATTCATTACTTTGGCCAGGCATAAATGTCTGAATGTTTTCCCAGTGTTGAACTCAGTACATTTCCCTCCATCTCTCCCTCTGCTGAGGACAGCTCCCCCTGAGCCAACACATGATTACTGAGGCCTTGTGCTGGAATATGACGCTCTCCCATGACGCTGAGCTTGTAATGGGCCAAAACGCTCTGTCTTTCAGATTTACATTTAACAAGAAAAGAGGTCCGAATTGTACTTGCAGGGAAAGGCGGCTCCTCTTTGCACAGGATCAAAAAAGTCTATGAAGCAGAGCACCCTGATAAGTTGCAAGACAGCTGTGTGCGGCGGACAAAGGCGGCGTGTCAGTGGCAGGGCCCTCACAAAGTGCTCCCAATCCACTGAGTCTATTTGCACAGAGATGGGTCTGCAAACGAGACACTCCAGCTAGTTCATTATACCAGGGGTGTGGGCTAAGCAGGGAAACAGACACATCTGGCGTCAGGAATGGGAACAGATTTCACAGTTTACATCTTACTAAAGACATGCTACACATTAGCTTGACTGTCTGGCAAACGTGTGGAAAGTCCACCATAAATTACACATGACGGATGGAAATTACTATTTGCTGCCTGCCAATATGTGAACCTGGTTTCATAAATTTGTTAGATCTCTTCAACAACTTGTGTAAACATTAAAGCACGTACCATGCCTTCAAAAACTTTCACACTGTCTGCAAATGTCACATGTAAACAGAGGAAATACTGCTGTGTATTTGTGCCTTTGACTGTCAGATCTGTCTTAGTGAGAATAAATTCTGTTAGTAATTTAAGAGTTGACAGTGTAAAGTTTTATTGCACAGCGTAAAATGTCTGCTGCATGTAAACTTCCAGCCTGTGAGAGACAATAAATCTGAGGACTAGTAACGGCACTCCTGATGCACATCACTGATGTTCTTCACGACCCTTCATATCAACTCCACCTGTTTTCACCTCCTTTCTTCCAAGGTGACATGGAAGCACTCAGAAGTACCCTAATTCCTCTACCTCTCATTGACCTGCTGCCAAAGTCCCACCGTTAACTTGGATTTCTCCGACTCAGCAGGTGTAAGGGAACAAGTTCCAGCTATAATCAGCCACAGCCATCCAGTGTTTGATGCGGCCTGCTAGGAAACTGACTAAACAAACTGTATTAATAGCTCGCGCTGCAGCCATGACGTTGGAATCCGAGGCTTAAATTGCCTGAGGGTAGGGGAGACCCCACAAAATGAGAAAGAAATGAAGGAGAGGAATGTGGAGAGAGGCAAATGAAGCATGAGCCCAAAAAAAAGTGGACAAAAAAAACCCGCTGTCAGCAGTTTGTAGGTTATGTACTATATCTCCGATCTGTGAAGGATCACAGGTAAAGTCTATGACCTTTTTAGACTGGGGGTCTTGGTTGTGGTTGGGTGGGTACTGCTGCCAGTACACACTTATGTAAGCATAGTGAACACAAGATTTAGTAAATGGAACAAATGAAATCCTATATCCATGTCTGCATAACTAACTAGACATAAAAGCTAAATCCAGCCAAGCTAGCAGGACAATGCGAAATGAACCGAGGGCCATTTTCTAAAATTAAATCGAAAACACCGCTCTGGCTCTTGCTGTAAAATTTTATTTCTATAACTACAAATTCAAAAAGAAAAAAAGACCAAATTGCTCGATGCTTTACTTTTCATCAGAGGTAGACTTCTACTTTAAACAGTCCAACTAATTATCTTCAACAATATTACTTTAAAATAATAAAACGTTTATAACGCTTCAATGTCTCAAACTGCAGAAAAACAACCCCATAACACATAAAGTGTCATTAATCAAATCTTTTTTAAAAGCCACATGCATTCAGTGATTTATAAATACCTTCTTTTTTTGCTGATACTTCAAAAATCTGTCATTTCTGAGTGTGTCAAGATGTTTGGACAAACAGAACACTGTGCAGTTTTCTCTGGTAAGACACTTCTCCAAATGATGGAATGAAGTACAACTCTGCCAAAAACATGACCTACATTCCTAGTGAAGGTGTTGACATGCTTGGGGATGCGGATAGTCGGGCGTTCAAGAGTTTAGATTGCAATAGCATGGATATCACTACTACTTGAGACGTTGGATTCTTAGAGGCTCTTCTTGCAGACCCATGTTGTTATCACAGTATATTCCATCGCTAAATCTACGGGCAGGGTAACGTCGTTGCAGAAATCCAGCCATACAAAGGTGTCAAATGTCAATTCAAGTTTCCCAAAGTCCCACAAACTTTAGTTCTTTCTTCCAGACGAAGCTGACTGGCTTGTAAAGGTTTGTCTTTTTAGCCTCCATTACCTTCTGGCTGCAGACTTAGCCCCGCCTTTTCCCGTAACAAGACCGCCTACTCTTTGCAGCAATTGGCCTTCGGCATGTCAGTCAACAGCATGTCATGCACGCATAGCTTTGGCCCCTGTCAATAACAGCAGTTAGAAGAACCTTATTGGTTAAAACCACGAAATCAACTTTTTTCATTTCCATGCAAAACTAATGGCTAGCTGCTGTGGCTAGCTGTAACAGGCCGAGCGCACATTGAAAGTGAGTAATAACAAAGTAACTAACAGTTCCGACGCAAACAGCAAACAGTCGACAACCCTGATATGTCTGTAACACAAGTGGAGGTGTTTGTTTTAAAGTCATAATGGGTACCCAAAATCGCGAAAGCAGAAAAGCTAGCAGTTAGTTGGTTAGCGGACTGCCACTTGAGTGCAAAGCGAGACTGTGGGTCCGAATGAAACGTTGTAACTGCCAACAGTTTCATTTCAGTTACACAAGCGGGAACATTTAACCGCACCAAGCACCGAAAACTGTCTCAGCCGACGCAAATTTGTAAGAGTTTAGTGAAGTCGACGTATCTTAGAAGACTTTAGAGGTTAATAAAGTGTTGACAAACTCACCCTTGCGCCCCTCTCTCTGGCTCCCCTCTCCTCTCCGCTCTCTTGGAATTTGACACTCCCCTAGATTGTGAGCTATCGCGATATATGTAACGAGTCGTCGAGACTCGGTAGATGTGCAAGAAGTGTAATTTAAAATTTCCATTCCCTTTAACGTCTCTGATGACAGCTATTAAATACTAACGCAGTAACCATTATTGAAAGTGAAATGGCCTAAATTGCTCAACTATATCTTTAAAAAAAAAACATTTCCGGTGTAACTTTATGTTCAAAATCTAACTTAATTGATTTTTAGCTGTCAAAGGTTATCGTTGTTCTGGCTATTCGGTAGATGCTTTTATATACATTATTGTTTTGAAAAAAGAATTAAAAAATATTTATCTACTACTGTTCATCCAGCTACTGTCCAGGGTGTACCCTGCCTCTCGCCCGTTGACCACTGGGATAGGCTCCAGTTCCCCCCGCGACCCCATCAGGGAATAAGCGGTATTGATAATGGATGGATGGATGGATGTTCATCCAGCTTTCTCATGGTGACACTGGAAAGACACGGCTACATGCAATAAAATATCAGGCACAGTCTTAACTTTCTGTTTTGGACATTCACTTAACAATAATATGATCACTGAATAAATCAAATTAAATAAAATGGCAACTTTGATCGTATACGATCGTGCAGACTTGACTGACAATATGTAAATCACTTAATTGAGACCAGATGATGCAATTTAAAGCTAAATCAACTTAATATTTGAATTGTACATCAAATACAGGAGAGACCGAACATTTCATCCTCTTGCAGTTTCATGTCTGTAAATTTAGAGATTTGGTCAGAGAGACCCCTAAAGGATCACTTGAGAATTGAACGTGCTCAGGGCAAGCAGGAAACTAAAAGGGACAGCCAGTGATTCTCTGCCGACACACATGTTTCACTATAGCTAAATAAAAACCTCTGGCTGTTATAAATTACTCACATCTTTGCTGTATTTATGTTGTATACCAACATAATGATATATTTTGTGAGGAAAAACAGAAAAAAAAGGTTGGCTATGACTGGAATATGAAGGCATTTACTCGAAGTACATTAACAAAGAATAACCTTTTTAGGTACAAGACATAATCTTGGGGTTAACTTTTACACATCTGCAGAACAGGCAAACAAAATAAAGACATTAAATTATTAATTTTAACACGCCGTATTTTCCAACCTAATTTAGTGTGTCCTAAATAACAAAAACTTAGCTCACAAGCCATTCTATGGTTTTAACATTAAAAAATTAAATTTAAATCTGGAACCAGAGAGCACCCTTGAAAACCTTAACTTTTGCAGGTTAAGAAAACAAATGTCTGTCTTAAAAAACGGAAAACATCTTTTTACCAACTTGGCAACCGGAACCACACGCTTTATGAAGAGAGCCCAAATAATTAGTTAATCATATACAAGAGAGGAAATGTGGGTAATACTCAGCTGTCAGCAGTGAGTATTTTTAGAAGACTAAAGTGGCACATTGAACAAAACCAATAATAATATTCAACAACCTTCTGCTGCCTAACCATAAATAAGAAAATTTGAATCTGGCACTATTCTTTCTTTACTCCTCAAAAGTGTGTGCTGCTTTCAAAATATTGCTGACAAACAGGTGGCTATTTAAACTAAGATACAGAGTACATAAAATATAACAAGCGAATAAAACATTTGCTTTGCACTACTTGATGTACAAGACATCTTGCATCACTGGGCATAACAGTTTAACAATAAGTTCAACTGAAATATACGCACACACACACAAATCTTGGGTTTTTTATCACTCTTCAAAGTTGAGAATGGCCTTTTTAAGTGATAGTCTAATATACTGTGAATTCACCCAACAAAATTGAACCAAGAATTGAGGGCTCTTAATTAGCACATTTAGATCAGCTGAACACAAGTTAGTTTCCGCCCTGCCCATTCCTTTAATGGAGCAATACAACGATGTTGCTCTTCCTGTTGAATTAGACTAAATGGGGAGGTGCAGGCCTGATCCTTTTTCTTACACCGATCTAACTGATCAACCACACTTAAATAAATGCTTATTCATTGTCTAACGACAAAATAATTAAAAAGACAGGATTTTGCTCATCTCTCTCGGTACATACATTTGTATTAAGTTTCAAGAAGGTTTGATAAAACCAGGGCCAAAGTCAGACCATGTCCTCTGACTCAGCGGACCCCCTTCCTTGACAATAAATCTAGTAGAATGATTGATCATCAACCAGTGAGGTCTGAGAACACCCAGATCATTTCAACATCACTCTCTCAGCAGCAGGTAGTCTTTGATGGTCTCTGGTAGAGGAAGCTCACTCACAGCAGAGGGGAGGAACTGTGCGCCGAGGCTCTGCCGCACGGCACAGCGCGCCAGGGAGCGAAGCGTGGGAGCCTGAGCCACCATGTCAGTGAGCCTGGCCAGCAGCTGGGGATCTTTACTTAGCTCTTTGGGAAGGGTGCCGTCGGCCCGTCGGATATCAAACCGCCCTGCTGCTCGGCAGAGCAGATCCAAGCACTCCTCCTCCTGCTCAGTGCCCAGGCCCCGGGCCAACAGGGCTACCAGTCGGGAGATAGGGGTCTGGCCCTTCAGGTTGGTCACATGTACCTGCGCTCCGTATTCTAACAGAACTCGGACACTTTCCAGATTGCCTTTCATTGCTGCCCAGCTCAGAGGCGTGTCATTGTTGTAGTCCCGAGCATTGGGACAGGCCCCGCTCTCCAGCAGGGCCCTCACACACTCTGGGTTATCTTTGAAGGCAGCCCAGTGGAGAGGAGTGTCCTTGTTGCCATCCAGGGCATTTGGTTGGGCACCGTAGTCCAGCAGCAGCTCCACACAGCTCTCGTCCTTCTCTGCAGCGTAGTGCAGCGCGGTACGGTTGTAGCCATCCAGAGCGTTTACCTTATGACAAGAAGAGTAAATATTCTGAGTGGTCTTTCACTCTAGGAGTTAACAAATAAGATGAGTTGCTCATCTTGGATTGGTAACAAACTTAAGCCAAACTTAGACCAGTGACAGAAAATCCGAGGTGAGGGAACAAGCTTTGCCGACATAAAGACGGACTGAAAGCTTGAGTGGCATAAAAAGCTACTCGTCTCTGTCCCAGACTATCAACTTGTTTGCGTGCTACAGAAAACGTGACATCCTCTTCCAGTCAGCATCAGCATTTCTACATTCTCCATCTGTCTCAAAATTATTTTGAGCCATCACTAATCTATTTGTTTTCTTACTCAATATTTTGCTTTATGAGTTGCAATTTTTTTAATTCTGTCTTGATTGTTAAAAGTATTTTATTTAGTACAAACCTGGGTTTATTTTGTTTTTAAGCCTTTTGGCTGTGTATGTACATGTGAGAGCAGTCTGCCATCAGTGTATTTCTCTGGACAAAAGTGTTTTCTTTAAAAAGGAACGTAGTGTTCTAATCATTTAAATCTTGTAAATTACTTGTGACACTCATCATGCTAAGATGTATGCGTCTATAATGCTTTTGTTAGTCCATTCACTCAATGTAACCACATGCCCTCACATGGTATAGATTTACATCATATCATCTGATAAAGATATGAAGTTTGATGTGTTGCATAAACACACTAAGTACAATAAACCAAATTAAAGTGCATTTCCTGCTGCCAAAAAAGACCATAGGAAGATGGAAGATGGATGTAAGACTTATGTGTAACATACCTCTGCACCCTTCTCCAACAGTAACTCCACACAGTCAGCATCAGCCACCATACAGGCACAGTGCAGCGGTTTGAGAGTGCCATGCATGCGGTTCACATCAGCTCCCTTAGGCATAAAAACACAAGGACAACATTACCTCTGATGACACTTGAGGACATCATTCATCTCCATGCATGATGTGATGATGAGCTGGCATACCTTACGAATAAGATCTTCCACATTGTCGTGTGGGAATGAACGAATGGCTGCAATGGTGCGGATGAGTCGCTCGGACAAGGAGTATTTACTCTGAATGCTCTGCATGATGTACCACATAGTAGAGCTCATGTGTAACGGAGGACCATGGCACCCTGGCAGGGTTGACTCTCAACACGCTGGGGGGGAAGGAAAAGGAAAAAAGACACATTAGGATCACATAGAATTGTTTTTTTTTAATTAATAAACAGCCAAACAATTTAGCGTTACATTTTAAAAGCTATTTTTTTAACATTATCGTTTTTCAATGTACTATAGTTTTTAAAAAACAGGAAATGCAACATCAAAAGAAACAATATTTCATAAAATATCTTTATCCTAACAACACAGCTGATAAAACAAAACACCTTTGACCATTTAAATATTGTTCACCTTTTAGTTTTGGGGAAGGGAAAAAAACACATTAAGATCACATAAAAGTGAAAAATAAGTGAACAGCCAAACAATTTAGCTTAACATTTTAAAATCTATTTCTATAACATTAGATATATTTTTAATATACCATAGTTTTTACAAAACAGGAAATGCAACCTCAAAACAAAAATTATTTAATAAATTATCTTTATCCTGAAAACACGACTGGTTAAATAAGACACTTTTGACCATTTAAATATTGTTCACCTTTTTGTTTTGTTATTATTTTCTTAAATGTTGCTGTGTGTTTTGTTTCTTTCTAATCTTTCTAGTGTGTACTGTTTTTAGACTCTTATCTTATGCAGCTGTTTGGTGCATCCACTGACCATAGATGCGTGTTTGGAGAGTAACTTGTGTGTTAATTTGACACTAAAACCCCACATTACATTAATCAAAGAAAAAAAAACTTAACTTTAAGATGGCAAGTTAACGTCCATGATATAGAGAGTCTCTTATTTGAACATTTTATATTATATACTTGTTTAAGTAAATGAACTGAAGTCACTTAAAGCTGCTAAACTTAACGGACTTTGTTTAAAGTGTTTCCTGTGAGCTGTTGCTGTAACTAAACCAAACCAGCTAACACAAAAAAAATAAAATAAGCCGAGCACAGCAAGCGACGAAAACAAACGACCAACACTGACAGCTAACTCGCTTTGCATTAACAAAAAAACAAAAATCATAGGCCAAGACCAAAATGCATGGCCTACACGGAGCGACAGCCCATAACGTTAATGTATGCATGTAAAAAGCCACGTTTTAAGCGCAGCTGGCACTGAGGCTCTGATTTCGACATAAAAATAACGATTCCCGACTTCGTTTTATAGCTTTTAGTTCGCTAGTAACAAGCTAACGTTAGCATAGAGTTGCTAACAATAACCGACAGCTGTAATGATATCAATCCAACGGCACTACTTTTAAACTGACATGCTTTGGAAGGCTTTTGGCACCAACTATAGATTAAATACCGAAAGTAATTAGAAAAACGTACCGTTTACAGTCCACGGTTTGGAGGTCTTGCAGGTTAACTTGTGGACAGCTGGCTCAAACGACATAAACACGGAACGTCACGCGACCACGCCTTCCGTGCTAACCGTCACCTTTTCGGTGTCGGGCCCCGACTCTATATTTTCTGTGAACTTCGGCATGAACAAAATCTGACCGCACGGTACGTCCTTGTCTTGTGTGCTAGCATTCCCAAAATAGTCATAAATGTCAGCGACACCGCGGGCATTTACCGGCCGGCGTGCCACAACTACTTTCAGTCCATGGCCATGTTAAGGAGTCGACTGTAAGAGACACCGGTATGCAATGGCCTCAGTATTTTCAGGGCTCTTTGAGTAACAAGGTAGCTGCAAATCCCCTATCAAAGGTTTACATTTAAGGTGTTGATTTATACATTTATTTGTGTGCGTTTTGTATAATTTTGTAACATTTTTACCAATCTTTCCAAAATATATCTATTTGTATATGTAAATATGTGCAAAGATAACAGAGATCAGCCATGAGAAAGGTAACGCTGCAAAGCCAAATCAAAATAATTTATTTTTGGTGACATTTCATACAGTTCTAAGATTGTGTCTCAAACACTTGGTTGATCCATAACTACATTTCCTTTTGCCACCCCAACCCAAATGAACAGAAAAGAACCCAAACATATTGCAGGGGCAAAGCGATTCCTGTAGGTATTTGCAAGCCTCTCAGTATCAACCATATGCTTCTAAAATTATTTCACATTACTCTTGAGTATGATTATTTTTTTTGCAAAAAAACAAAACAAAAACAAAAAAAAGTTAGTGCATTTATTTAATTATCCTAAATCACTAGCTGCTCATACTCATTACTGAAAACAATAATAATAATAGTAGTAGTAATTGCCCCAGTGATTGGATTCTCGTTTACTGCATTATTAAACCCAAAATCAATGCATCAAGTATTTTCTTTCAGCTGACATCTCCATCAGTATACAAATGTCATATGCGTGATTTTATTGTGCCAATGCAATTTCACACAACTTTGGGGAAACCAGCCTACCAAGATTGGGAGAAAAGCGTTGAGCATTAGAATTAAAATAAATAAATTTAAAAAGCAATACTTACAGTGAGTCAAACTTCAAATTCTAGTCAACCTGTTTTGTTTTTCAAATATTTTATGAAATAAAAAGGAACAAAAAAAAGCCAGCAAACTCACCCTAAAGCAGGAAAAACAATCAAATAAAATGTGGTGGATACCTGCTGCCAGAAGCCTCTCTGTAAATTCAGTACTAGAACAATTACATTCTCCCACACACATTTCTAGTGAAGGGTTATTACAATTTAGCATAGGCAGCTACACCTCTACAGCTTCTCAAAAATCCAGTTTCACTGAGTCAAAAAGATTCCCAAAGACTAAATTATTTAGCAGACCTCAATAAAAATCTTATTCTAGTACTCTATGATCGTAGGCTGCTGGCACGTAGCACAAGAAAATGAAATGTCCCATTTTCTTTTAACCAACGACTTGGCTGCCAGATATTATATAGCTATCATCCTTAACTAACAGCACTCCTCAACCTATTTTCTGACATTTATGCCACTGTTATGAACATTTCACAGATATAAGCTTAACCTGGATATCCTGTGATGATATAGAAAAGCCGAACCTCACCTGAACCACCAGGCACACTGAACAGTCAACATCGACCTCTACATTTTGCTAATTTAAAATGCCAATCCACTACCCAAACAGACATGTAAACGGAGAACCTGACTGATTATCAACATTAACAAATTTCTGAATCCATTCCAGTGGGTAATCCTATAAAATTAAAATAAAATAAAAACCAAAAAAAAAAAAAAAACAATTCAGATAAACGGAGAGAAAAACTCAACATGAAAAACTTTGGACCAGGCTAGCGGGCTCACGGCGCCCGGCGGGCCGGCGGGTGTGCCCCAGAGAGCTTCTCGGCTTCAAACAAAACCACACAGATGACGGTGGCCAATATCCACAGCGCCTGATGCCTGTCAGCGTGTCAGCCAATCACGGACCAGGATCAAGACCCCATATAGAGCGCATATTTCTATATACATTAGGAGACCACAGAGTCCAATTTTTGGACAACGATTCAGAATCTCTGCTGTAAAAATCAAAAGTCATCCATTTCGTTATATCAGTGAAACAGCACACTGCAGCACCTCAATCATTTTGCTTAACAATCGATGCATACACAGACATCAGTCAACCCTTCAGTCATACTTGCAAACCTAAGCACACAAAAGAAAGAAAAAAAACAAAAGAAAACTGATGTCTCGTTGCTTGTTAGTGATATCTTTGTACATGACATATATGCATGTTGTTTTCGTCATAGTGCATATTGTTCTTGCAGACCAACATCTATTATTTAAAATAAAAAAAGGTAGAGGGCCATTTGCGGGGCCCAGCTTCCCACCTCCCCAAGCAGAGCATATACGAACAAGCTTCCAGATAAATCGCACTTAAATTCTTTTAAGCATAGCGCTGGAGGCCAGACGACATTTTTGTTTCCTTTTCAAATCGCTCGTTCAAGTTCTTCAAGTGTCATTTTTGCCCTCATGCCCTGGATGTCAAGGTCCTTTAAAAGCTTTTCTTTGGACAAGTTCCAGGTGGGAAGGTGGCTACCATAATGTTGTTGCTTTTATGTTATTCATTTTTATATAATTTTATATATCCAAGTATATATTCATACATCTTTTTTTTTTTTTCTCTATTCATATCAAGTTTTTACTTTGGCGATACAGGTGGGATGTTCTGCTCTTTGCCGGTGTGCCTGTAGCCTCCCTGGGGGGAGCTGCGTCGGGCGGGGGGCGGGCGCCGCTGGTCCCGGAACTTGAGGCCCCCTGGGCCTCGTGGGCCGTTGCTGCGGTAGTAACCTTGAGAGTCCCGTTCACGTGGCGGCCGGCTCTCCTTGCACTCCCACCCCCCCTCCCTGTCGTGGCCTTTCTCCTGCTTGTCTGCGGGGCTGCTGCCGGAGCCCGGCTCCTCCGCCTTGTTGACGCGCAGCTCGCGGAGCGGCTGGCCGGACGCCGCGGCAGGGGGGGCTGCAGCGGGGGCCGCGGGGGGAGGGTCCTTGGGAGGCCGCTGGCACACTTCGGCGTAGCTGAGTTTGCGGGGCTCCTGAGGCGATGTGTAGAGAGAGAAGAAAGAGGTTAAATTTTTTGTTTGCTTCAAACTGACCACACTTTGTATGACAAGTTCGGGTCAAACCCTCAGATGTCATAATCTCAACGGTCACTGGGGAAGAAATGACAGTTCTGGACTTGTGGTGGGACAGAGCAGAGAAGAAAGCAAAAGTTAGAGACCACATAAGAGATTGAGATGTGAAAGAGAAAGAGCCAAAGTCCATTACTTCACTACTTAAATAACTAAGCCTCAGTGCTGGCAGCCGCAGCAGCAGACGGCTACCTGTGCAGGGGTCGGGACAGCGGCAGGGGTCGGCGTGCTGGGGGTCACCGGTGTGGAGGCAGCAGGGGGTTGAGGCCTGGAGCTAGGCACAGGCTGTGAGGAGGAGGAGGAGGAGGAGTTGACTGTAGTTTGAGCTGCAGTGCGGGGAGCCGCTCTTGGGGCAGGGGGCTCAATCCGCTCGGCCCTCTTCTCCTGACGAGTCACACTGTCACGGAAGAGGTACACGCAGCATTTAAAGACTGGAACCAATGTTTCGATGAAAAGCAAAAATATCCCTGGCTCATACTTGGAATCAGTGAGCCCAGCATACCTGGGGCCCTGAGGTCCGAGTGGTTGAGGTGTGGCTTTTGTGGCTGCCTGGGCAGGAGTCGCCACGGCCACAGCTTCCTCTGTGGCTGCGGCTTGGCCCGAACCCGGACTCACAGTGGCTTCTTTGTTAGTTTGTTCCGTCTAAAGAGCGAGCAAAGAGTCACAAAGATTACTCCCCCAAAGTCTGGAACTTGTGCGTTAATGTATCGGCCCGAGACGCCTTTGAAAGCTCGCGCCGCTGACCTTGTCTTTATACAGGCCGCGTACGACGTCTGACATTCGGTTTTCCAGCACCGGCTCTCCCTGCGCGCTGACCACACAGCCGGGAAGAGGTGGGAAGTTGGTGGCAGCCAAATCGAACTTGGGCGGGGGAACCTTGACCTCGGCTAACGGCACGGGCCTCTGAGAGAGGGGGGAGGAGAGGTCACAGTGAGATTCCAGCTCGGAAAACGATGTCGTTCGGTGGGAACAAGGCGCTGCCGTTTACCGTGATCCGCTCATCCTCTCGCCGCCTCCGCGTCCCTCTGTAGGTTGTGTTCCGTCTAAAATGAACAAATAGGACTCTATGAGCAGGAGCTTTATTTGCAACTCTGATTTTAAACTGATTGAGATGGATCCCACTTTGTTGTGTAAAGGCTGTTACACACAAAGAGAAGCGAGACATTTGTTCTCGCTCCTACAGCTGCCAGAACAAAATGACGTCCTTTTGTTCTGGCAGCCCTGGTTTTGGAGTTCTCGCTGCTCTTTCTCAACATCATCAGAACGTAGATAGCAGAACCTTTTTTTAAATCGCAGGGCATCCGAGAACTGTTTGATTGGTCATATGTTTTGTGGATTTAGATTATTTTTCAATAAGAATCCATGTAAAAATGAATCCTCTATCATTAAAATTCTTCTTTGTGAAAATACCACAAGAAACGTATACAAATACTGCAGAGAAGTACATTCACAGAAGAGGGAAAGCTACGATTCTCTTCCAACACTTGCAACTTTTGGGTTGCAGTTAAATCAGACGGCCCGCCTTCACCTTCCACGCCCGCTCATGCTGCCGTCATCGCTAGGATCCAAGGAAGAGGACGAAGAGGACAGATGTGCGAAGGCTGAGCTCAGGTCAGCTGTAGCCTGGACCGGGTTAGTGGCGACGGCGATGGCAGCTGGAGGCTGTGGGCTGCGCAGTCCGGTCAGGCTCTCCAGAGGGACAGGCGTTACAGACGATGGGGACGCGTCACTGGTCCTCACCTGGGGCTTCACGTGGTTTCTGGTGCAGCAAGGCAGAAAGGAGATCAACATCGATGTGGAAAAAGACATGCACTGAAGACAGACTGGCTACCAGTGCTTCCGATTGAACAGAAAAATCCAATCCAGAGTTTGGACATTTACTGACCACAACATGTTCATGTGGCAGATACTGTGTGTATGTGGGTCACCAAGCTGTGTGGACACAGTAAAGCCGCATAACAGGGCTGGCACTATGCTGTGGGCCATGCATCCCAGCTCCCAGCTGGATTTGGTCTTCCTGGTATGGCTGAGTCTTATTTTGAACACACATGTTGTAAAGAGAGCCAGCGGGGGGGCATTTGCTGCCACTGCTCTGTCTGCCTGATGGTGGAACAGAGCCTCTTTTTGTGTAAGAGGAACACATTCACCACCATTCAGTGTTAAAAACAGTCCAACGTGTTGACAGACTGGTGGAAGCCATTCCCTAAACAGTCTGAAACCTGTACAGCTATTATTTTAGAGTGTTTTATGGCATACTACAGCACTATATGGAGGGTAGAGCTCCTGTTGGCATGAGTTCCACTTTACGCGAGGAGCCAACTGCTCCAAGCATATGATCTCAAAAGGAAACACTGGTGGCACAAACCAAGCCTGGACAGCTTGCAGGGACAGCGTGCTGTGTCCGCAGACTAAACACCGACATGCAGGTAATTCTTAGGTCACTGGAGTGCTCATGATTGGTTGAAGCAGTGGAGACTACAGAGCAGAGCTGACAACACCCACATAAGACCTGGCCGGGTACTGGAAATGATTCAGACTTTTGGAGCCTGTGACCCTCAGATCTCATAATCTGAACGCTCATTGGGATGGGAGCAAAGAAACCCACTTTGAAAAGACAGAGGAGATATATAGAAAGAAAAGCGAGGAGGAAAATGAGAGAGTCAAAGCCGGTAACTCCACCCCCATTTTTCCCTCTATGCGCATCATGATCTCATCATCGGGTCCGACGAATTTCTTAACAAGGTTTTTTTTTCCCGATTAACATACAAGTTGTCACCTCGGTTAAGGACGGGATGAGCTACACTCAACTCTTAACTGTCAGCCTTTCTTTATTATTGCATATATATGGCCAGAAAGTCAATGAAGGAAGAAGCACCAAAAATGTAGAAAAAATAAAATGGGTGGTTAGTTGTGATGGGGGTTATGGATGCAATAATGTGTGAAAAAGAGGATGTGTCTGGAGCTAAAGACACATTAACTGGTTAAAAATGAATAAATCAATCAAAACAATCTGCATGAATCAGAAGTTGACGACCAAACGGCACGTCAAATCTGTAATGAATATTTGTCACACTGATGAAGGGTTAACGTGGGAGAAAAAAAAAAAGATAAAAATGGCAGAGGCGGTCAGCCCGGGGATGGATTTAGCCATTTGACTGTTGCAGTATGGTAAGAGATGAGTGTAGTGATGAAGCTTATTTTACAGTGGAGCAGTGGTACCTGAAGGCATTTATTACATTCTTTCTTGAATAGAGGGGAACACTGTGGGGACAGTAAGAAGACAGGGAGTGAAGAGCATTTCTCTGGTGGGGTTACATCATCCTTTGACAACAGTGCATTGCAGATGATCCGACGTTCACAGTTTAACTCGTCATGCACACAAGCGGCAAATAGAACGTCCCAACTGCAGAATGTGTCTGCAAGTCGCAGGCTCACTTTCAAGTGAGAGCTTTGGAGGACGGCGGGAAAACGAAGTGCTTACCGGTTTCTGTTGAACGGCCGAGTGATATTAAGAGCAGCGGTGCTTGTTTTGTAGTGTGCAGTGGAGCCGAATCCATTCACAAAGCCGCTGTTGGGAAAGGGTGCCTGCTCAAATGGAAAGGCAGATTTTACCAATCCCGTTTCATATCACAATCCATGCAGCTTTCTACCTTGTCGCAGTTTCTAGCATTCAAATGTAAATGTCCAATATCATCTGCCCTACGTGAGAGAGCAGCAGCTTCAGCAAAGAACAGAATATTCTGGTTCATTTACACAGGAACAACAGGTTGAAACTAACACGTAACTAATTGACTAGTGAAACCAACTAGAGTCATTTTCAAAAGTTAGTCCCTCATCTTCTGCACAAACTCAGCCCCTGAAGGCTGACTCATTTCAATCAGTATTTATGGGCATTAACAGCAGAGTTTGGCAACTCGGGGCAAGTGCTTTGCCCAATTTGAGCAAATAGAAAAAGTGGCAGAAAATAAATAGAAGGAGACTATTAATGTGTTGATAATTATTTGTTTTGAAATGCCATAAGTGCTGCAACTCTGGGTGTGCCGGCCTTGTTAAGTACAGCCCTTACCAGAGGAGTTTCGAAATAGGGAGTTGGCGACGGTGGCCAGGCGGGAGGCACGATGCCGTAGACGGGGTACTGCTGCTGGGGATAGACATGCTGCATGTAGAGGGGGGAGCTGTACTGGGACTGGTTCTGCGACTGCTGGGCATACAGGCTGCTGTCCATGCTACGGTAGCCATTCTTTGCAAAGAATGTGTTGATGGCCTTTATTCGTGCCTGTCGAAACAGGAAAAAGGAGGAAGCTCATGAAATGAAAGCTTTAAAAAAGACCAGGGGGGGGCTTTTCCAATGGTTTTCCTTCGACTCACCATGATGGGTTTTCCCTGAAATGTTTTGACTTCCTCTCTCAAGTATTTGTATGCCTGGAAGATATTAAGAGTCAAAAAGTCATTAAGCGCTACATTTTAATGCCATTCTTTGACCAAAGAGGGAGAAAATAGAACAACATTTAATCAGTGGGACCATCTGTACCTGCTGGGCGTCCGTGTCTGACTGGAATGTGATGTACCAGTTGTTGTTGTGCGCAAACTCAACACTTATAACCTTTGGACAGTTTTCGTTTTTGAACAGTGACTCCACTTCCTGTTGATTCAACACAAAGAATGATCTCATTTCAGCAAAACACCGACTGCGACCCATCCTTTTATTTTACACAGCATGACTTGGGCTTACCTCAACAGGTGTGGTTTCAGGGACTTCTCTTAAGATGATAATGCACCGCTTGTGGTTGGGACGCACCTTCTCCCCCTTTTCATCCACTTGTACCATTGGAGAGGCTATGGGGGGGATTTAAAAAAAAAAGAAAAAGAAAAGGTAAATGTAGACACGTGTGTTTCTGAACAGATTTTTGCACCGGCCTTTCCAGCGGCTGTAGCCTTCCACTTACATCTCAACACATCCAGGATGAGGTCCATGTCAGTGGTGAGGACCTTGATACCCTCCATACTAGCTATAGTCCAAATAGGGACAAACTGATCGCTGTCCATCTGCGACATGAGGTACAGATCCTTGGAAAGGTTTTCTCTGAATCAAAACAAAAGCAAAGACATGGTGCAGGTTAGCCCTTGCCGTCGTTTGCTGGTCACTTCTGCTGGAAATGCACGCTAAGGGATGGGACCATCGCAGGTGCTGCCCGTGTCCACAAAGGTGACGGAGCAACAGAGATGTTGGCAGAACCGAGAATAAAGCAGAAGCTCCTCTAAAGCATGCCGGCAGTCAATATGTTCAACGCGACTTGCTGTGTTGTCTTTCAGACTTCTGGAGGCTTCGCTCAGTGAGTCAGAAGCAAACGTTGTGGACATCCAGCGTCCCATCTGGGGTGGGCTCAAAAATGTTTCAGGATTCCTGTGAATGTGTGAGAGCAGCTTTACTGCGGTCCCTGTGTGTCTGCTGCTTACCTGGAGAAGTAAAACTCCAGCTCTTTCTTCAGAGACTCCCGCAGGTTCTCGGAGGAGATCGGCTGTTCCTCAGCTTTGGAATCTACTGAGAACCAAAATGAAGCAGTCAGAAAGGTGACAGCGTGCTATTATGGAAGTCTGCCTACATTCAGGACCGTGACGGGCGAGTGGGTGACTCTTCCAGAGGCGTTTGTAATAGATAACATAACTGAGCACCAAGTTTCCATCAAGTTGCCTGGTTACAAACTGCATCATTTTAAGTTATTTTTAAGGAACATCTTTGTATCCTGCTGCCGTTCAAAGGTTACTCAACAAATTCTGGACAAGTCTAAATTTACCTCCTGGCTCTCTTCTCTAAATGTCACAGCAATGATCACTGGATTATCATAAAATAAATCTGACATAGTACAGCTTGTTTGTTGCAGGAGAATACATTTTCACCAGCAAAAAAAAAAAAAGGCTGTCTAATGATCATGAGTAAAGAATGCATTTGCACTCAGCTGGGCTAACAGTTCCCATCCTGTTAGCCCAGGTCTCAGCAGCCAAACCTAAACATAGCTTCTTCCTTTCTGATTTGATCTGCTTCACTTATCCATTAATAACTAGCCAATTGACCGTTAACGCACATTTGAAATCCCTCTTTGACGGGAACTTTCAAATAAGCGTAAAAAAGCTTCACGTTTGAAGGAACTCTGACACACAAATCAGTTTTGGGCATTTTGACTTCTATTATCTGGCTGAAGGGCTTATTGTACCCTAAGAGTGGGTATCAGTCTCTTTATCCAGTGGTCAAAGGTTATGTGAGCTGCCCTTTGGCTGCTGCCTGCGCACCAGCTCGCTCACCCCTGCGCTTTGTTTGGCGAATCCACAAACCTGCATCACATGACACAAGCAGTTTGAAATGACGGGTTTCAGAAAGCAGCAGCTGCCTTCTGCCCCAGAATGCCATAAAAAACAAGCCACAGAAACATTATTCAATTATCATCTATCGTGGAAATGATGGTGGTGAAGGACAGCGTTGCGTTCACGTCTCCGTGTGTTCAAAGAGAAGGGAGGACGTTAAGGAAAACCTCAGTTTATGTAACAAAAGGGGTTTTGCTATCGTTTATGTAACAGATTCAAATTTTATGAAAATATGGATAATAAAACAAACTGCTGTGAACCAGCTGTCAAAGTTTCCCAACATTAAGCCAGACCCTAAAGCCCAGAGCCTGTGTGATCCACACCCGGAGAACGCTGTCCTGCTTAAGTGGAAAAAGCCACGCTGTTGAAATAGAGCTTTAGGGGCTGTTTACACCACAGAGCACAGACTTTATCTCACTCCGTGTGGTGCTAACATCCCACCCTAACCTTATCACTTTCGGTTGGACCAAAGACTGATAAATCTCTATGACAGCATGACAGCCGGCAGTTGCAGCACGAGAATGGCCGCACACGACGGGACTGACCTGAGGTCCCTGTGGTGGACTCAGCAGGGGAAAAGCCCAACTCTTGCGGGTCCATTCCGTTTACTGCTATCTCAGCTGTGGCTGTGGGGCTGCTGTGGGCCAGAGCCGGGAATCCCTCGGTGTACTGCTTGCACCCAGCAGACGAAGGCTCGGAGTAACCTGTGAAAGTTGGATTCAGAAACAGCAGATAGAACTCTCAACGCCTTGCTCATCAAAAAGATGGGGATACAAAAAATTTAAAAGAGTTTGTGTTATTTGAGGGATATTTCCGTCAGCTGAGAAAAGGGAATCTCACCCTCACTGATGTCCGAGGGAGGCCAATGAGGGCTGCTGGTGACGGCCTCGCTGGGGGCCACGGGCATCTCCTGCCACACCTTGGCATTTGGGTTCAGACCAGCACCCTTCGAGGTGACCTTTGAAGACACAAACTGCACCATCACACAAGTTCTGACTCACACCAACGTTAAAAGCAGAGAGAGACGACGTTTGCACCGCGGCAAAATCGAACACTCTTAACTTGCTGATCAAGAGAAGCTGACGGTGTGTCAGGTGGTCAGCTGGACAGCTGCTGGCCGACAGTTTTTAAGATCACATCTGCGTGAAATATAATTCTATGAAGTTACATAAATATCTGGCACCAAAAAGAAATCAAGAAAACAAAAACATCAAGATTTGTGAGATATGGATTTCATCAATGCCAAGGAGGACACCAAATAGTCAGGTCAGACCTAAACACCAGCACAACCAAATACCAAGGAGCCTTAGTATAAAAAATAAAATAGAAAATTATTTTAAATTGACTTGTTTCAAGAGGGGAAGTGCATCTGCATGCTGCTATACCTGGCAGAAAAAGGCATAGTCTTAACCTACAGGAGATTTATCAGAAACATTTTGCATATTCAACATAAAACTTTGTATTTGTTTTTTTGTGCAGACTAATTCAACTGCAAGAAATAAATGTTAATGCTCTATGTAGGGTTCACCACAATTTATGCATTTTAAACAAGAACCCCATTCAATCGTTACATCTACCTCTCCACATTGAGCCGGCTGCCATCTAACAGGAAAACTCCTGACCCTGCAAAGATCGGTGGCCAGGAATAGGTCACATACTGTATTACAGTTATACAGATTAGGCCAGCACAATGTGTATTTCAAGCATCTACATCATGATGTGCAAAAATGTCCAAGTCACACTGTTTTAAATACAAACTAAAGCAAGTAACCTTACATTCCTCTTTTCCCCATAGATGATCTGTAAGAGAAAACTCCAAAGCAGCATTCAATTGACTTCACGGGTCCTGGATTTAGATATTTCTAAAAAGTCATATTTGCATTCTTATCAAAACAATCTGCAGCTTGTGGTTAGCTACAGAATAAGCATGCCAACGCGTAAATGAACAAAATGCAGCAGTATTTGTGGGAAACTATTCCTCTGAAATTTTTGGATTTACATACATATATAAATTGTTACTGCTCAAAAAAGTCTGTCATTCTGAGTTTTTCCCCACAAAAGTGCTGCCTCCATGTGGTCCCTGATGCTACTTGAACCCACTTGTAATAGGACGACAGCTTTCTTGAACCTAACTTACAATTCACCCAGCTTCCCATCTTAACGTTGTCACTCAACACCTGCCAACAGTGGGCCCCCGCTTTGTAGAAACCCTCTGACAGGAGCCGCTCACTACATGCAGCATGACACTTCCCCGAGCCCAGAATGGCTGTAACGGGCAGATCGGCTTCTCCGCAGTTCAAACAAACATGGACATTTATGAGCGGTGCAACCCGACACATGGTGACAATGCATGCTTTAGTGAAACGGGCCGTGGCGGGCCAAGCGGTGTCAGCTGACTGCGCCGCTCGGCACAGGCCAAGTGTTTGCAACGCATGCCGCCGCGCTAGCTAGGCTGGCTATTTGAGCGATTAGCTAACACACATCGTTACCGTGAACGAACGGCTCCCGTTCAACCAATAATCGAGGCATCGGTCGCATATTAACTGTAAACAGCCGCCTTGGTGCTCCTCTGCTACGCGTAGGCGTGTCGCCCCTTTACGGCGGCGTCAAATTATGTTACAAGCTAATGATTACTCAGCAAACTACTTAATGAGCGTGCTTGTTAAAAGTGGCTATGCTACGGCTAGCCGACGGCTAGTGACCAGTGTGTGGCCATTACCTGGCTCCGCCGGCTAAAGAGCTGCCGTATGTCTGCTGACACTGTTGTCACAACACCTCCTTATGATTTAGCGCTGTCACACGCGTGGCCTCGCATTACGCAAATGGCGTGGACACCAAAGTCAAACGGACATCAACTTGTGTAACGTTAGCGTCGTTTAGGCTGCTTTAAGCTGCTGACTGATAAATACTGGTCATCCCGCAGAGGGCGGCGTATTGCGCGAACAGGTCTCCGGTGAGCAGATGTCGCTTAGCACGCTAGCTAACTAGCTTGAGAAGGCCTCACTCACCATGCCGCCTGACCCTCCCTCGCTCCCCAGCGGAGCCTCGTCCTTCCCACCGGTCTTCGGTCCGGGATCAGCCTCCTCCTGCAGCAGCGGCGGCTCTCCGCTCTGGTCTGAACTCATCAGCCGCTCCTGACACACTTCCACCCCGTCGTGTTCTCCCGGCCCCCACCTGCCACCACCGCCTCCACCCGATCCGCAGGCTGTGTTCGGCACTCAGTCGGCTTGTCTCTTGGTCGTATGGATTGGAGAGCGTCACACTTCAACTAGCTCACTCACTAGCTAGCCGGCTAGCAGCCTAGCGCGCGATGAATCAACGAAGCGGGCTAACGGGCAGCTAGCTCAATGAACCAAGCTCGTAAGCTACGACACTAATTAAATAAGCGATGCCAAACCATGACTCTTCGTAGACCACACTCCCTGCTCGCGTTTCATCAACTATCACACCACTCATCGGCTACTTGAGGCGCATTCCTAACGGGGCGACCGGAGCGGACACTGGGGACATGCACTTTCCTCAGCGCAGGCACTCAGTCCGCCGACGTCCCAGCTGCCACCGCGCGTTTTCGGTGACCTTTGCAGAGGCCATTTCCTGTTCCTGTAGTTTTCAGTCTGTAATATTTATGTTGCTCATTTTAGTTAAACAAATATACCTGTGTAGTTTTATTTTCTGTCTGCATACGCTGTTTTACTATTTAGTTGAGTTTAAATGTATTTTTTCTTTGAATTTCCATTTCAAAGCCAAGGTGACTGAATTACTTAACACATCCAAATATTTTTCTCCCAGTATACACAATAATTCGACCTAAAAGTGTAATTTTACAAACAATGTCACAATGTAAGAAGCACCGAGGAATACATTTCTAAATATCTTCTTTTAAATACACATTTCAGCTGCATGTTTCCCCTCTCCTGTCACATTGCATGATCTGTATGGATGATGTTTATTGTTGAGTTTTTTTTACATCAGTTTCACTATGTTAAATGTAAAAAGATATACATTTCTCTTGTCATGTTTCAATGTTATAGTGTTAAACTTTCCCCACATGTACTTCTTTTAGAGTAGTTTAATCAGTTGGAAATAATACCCTAGAGAAATTGTGAGAACAGGGTGCTTTGTGATTACCAGTAAATTTCATGTGTGGGCTGACCTCCTTTGTTCAAACAAAAGAGAGGAAGACGATGTTGTGATGTTATCTGTTCTGCTTTGCCCATCCTTAGACGTAATCAAGGATGATAAACAATTCAAACCAGAGGTGAATTACTGGTGTTGTGAATGACAATGGCACAAAATCCCTTCAAATTAGATTTTTAGATAGGAGATATTGGAATCAGAAGTAGCAATGCCATGGTACATTTGATGCATGGCACCTGAATTTTAATGCACATTAGATCAGTGTTTCCCTACCTCAATCAAATAAACTGGTCGTTGTCAGCCTTCTGTTGAGCTTAAAGTGCTGAAAAGTTGTCCCATGTATTTAAATCTGGTGTGTTGGAGCAGGGAAACTAGGAAAACAAACAGGGTAGTGTGCCTTGAGGACTTGGAAACATTGCTTTAGATATTCTCCTGAGTGATTGAGAATTTTTTTAAAGTTCTGGATGCAAGTCAACTCACGTTTGCTTTGAAAATTATTTAAACCAAAAACTCCTTACCACACCTGTAAGAAATACAGGTATAGGGATAACAATTCTCATATTTATTCACATCTTAGTTCAGTTACATCAAACTTAGTTTTAAAGTTAATTCTTGCTCACAAAACAACTATAAACAGAAACAGAATTGTTGTTTATTCTCCTAATAGCTGCTCATTCCAGACTTGGTGTGACATTGGCACTTTGAAATAGTGTAAGTGAAGTTATACAACAAGGAGTGAGGATGATATCTATTTCAAGCGTTTGGTTAAGATTGAACAACTTATCGCTGAGTTTAGTGTTAACTTTAAAAGACCACCAAATGTGTTCTTAAAAGCATCAGTTTTAAGTGTTTCTATCATTAATAATAATCAATTCTTCTCAAATAAACCAACAGAAGTTCAGCAGTTTTTTAACACCACTTTAATTGGTGTATTGCCTGTTTTCAGTCATCTTGCAAAGTTTGTGAAAGTTCCTGAAATAGCCACAAATATAGAATTTTCTGCATGGTACAGTATCTTTTTTTCCATGTACGTCAAAGCAGTTGAACATGAAGAATATTTTTCACAATGCTACAAATAAAATGCCCATTTCCATCCATGTGCTCAGTCTACTTCCGGCTGGAGGTCCTCTTGTTGATCACATGCTCAATATCAGCGTGTTCAGACGTGTCCAGTTTGATGTCATACTTGGCCAGGATCTTCATGATGGGCCTGATTTTCAGCCACCACTCCGTCTTTGGGATGCGGTGCCTGTAGTGAACAGAGAGAGGCTCATTCAACATCTCACTGCTCTTCTTCCCTCGGTGAGTCACTCAGCAGGTGTGCGGCTTACTCAAAATCTGTGTCTCCTTTTAGTGCAGCAAGAGGCTGGAAGGTGAGTGCCCTTTTCCTCATGCCCAGCACACAGGCCGAGTCTGGCGTGTTGGCGAAGATACGACCTAAACAACCCACAAAGTCGAACCGTTTATGAGCCCATAAAAGTAAATGTCTGCAAATTACCATTTACGAGTGTGCTATGTCACATGAAATTAAGTCACAAGTTAAGCCAAAAGATTAAAGCCAGCTACCTAAAGCAGGTGACCTGTTTGGCAACAGGTCCTTTAAGTTAGCGAGGACGGGGATCCATGGATTGTTTTTGTTTCAAAACATGCCACAGATCCCTGGCCTGATTATAGATTTTTGTCAGTCAACCCTTTGTCTTCTTTGGCATGACCCACAAACCATTCCTGCAGTGTGGCAGAGGCCAGCTGTTCTGCTCAACAGTCATTTCAGTGCCATCGGTACAATAGCACAAATGTAGAGATAGCATACCGGTTTTCTATGGCAGCCAATCACAAGGGCCTGCCCGGAGCACTTCTAACACGGCTGCTCTTTATTTGATCAGATGTGGAAACGGTCCCATGATGGGAGATGTCCATGATACCTGAAGTCACGACATGTTTTGATCTAGCTATTCCAATTTGGCTCTCAGTTACGTAGATATTTACGTTAACTTTTCTCGAAAAAACTGAATCATACTCTAAATGAGCCATTTGGTAGATTTGTACGGCTAATCACACCCCTTAGAGCATTTCCCCCTGAAAATGCATTCATTTGATCCGTTTGTGGTTTTAATGTTGCAGCCGATCAGCTTGTGTCGTCAAATGTGCTGAAACTTTGGATTCCTGTTCACACACCATGTCTGTAACACTCCTTGAGCTTATCTGTCAACCACAGGACAGACTTGGCACCCATTTTCGTGCCAAAATTCCTGTCGAAGGGTGTCGGGGTGCCGCCCTGCAGTGGCCAGAAGACAGAGAAGCAATTCAAATACAATCAGAAAAAAAAGGGGAGAGGATATTGGTGTTTTTTCATTCAAATTACTCATCAATAGTTTCCCACCTGCTGCATGTGACCAAGGACGTTCTTACGGCAGTCAAAGACTCCTTTCCCCTCCTCCGAGTACAGGCTAAAGATGAAGTCAGTGGTGTAGTTGGAATTGCAGTTTTCATTCCTTTTGAAGAATGAGCAGATGTGTGTTATTTTACCGTCATCTTGAGGGATGGGACTCACAGCTATCAAACCTATCAGAATATGCATTAAGGGACCCATTCAATGTAAAACCTTTGAAAGGTAAAACAATTTAACAGGTGCAACCTGCATCATGATACCTTTATTTAATGGAGGACTCACTTAAAATAATCAAATAAGCTAAATAGGAATCAACAGAATGATGCAGTCATTCAGTTGTACCTCTTCCATAATAATATATCTCAGTTTGTGATTATCCTTTGGCCAAATGGTAGAAGAAGAGCACAAGCATTTTTTTTAAATTGTCTGCTAAATGATAAACCAAGATCCTTAACTGTTGCGTACTGTCCCCTCATCAGTAAATGAGCATCCACAGCTCTGATATTTCAAACATATGCCTCAGTTGACTCAGCAACATTTCACTTTTTTTTCTACCTGAGAATCAGACCTCTCTTCACTGTTGTCTTCATCTTCTCCAAAAGGTGCTCTACGTTTGCCTGTGGATCAATTTTCATATCACTCATTTTGTTTCATCATTTAAAAAAAAAGATAAAATTAAAACAATAAATAAATAAATAGATTAATAAATAAAGCATAAAAGAGGATCCTGCACAATGAGCTATGAAAGTATGAAGAGTACGCAGGACTTTTCAGTTTTCTTCTTTTAAAGCTGCACTGATCTCAACAAGTCGACCTGAGGAAAAACTATAAAGGAAAAACGTCCGTCTACAGCTCACCTCCAGATCTCTAATGTTGAATTTTTCCTCGTAGATGTAGGCGGCGTCGGCTCCGGCAGCCAGGCCGGCCATGGTGGCCAAGTAGCCGCAGTACCCACCCATGGTCTCCACGATGAACACTCTGCGCTTAGTTCCAGCTGCAGACTGCTTAATTCTGTCACAAGTCTGCAAACACACAATCCAGCTGCTTATTAAACGGTTAATCTCAGTGTGCGCGTGTGTTTTTTGCCGTATAGTCACTGACGGAGGTGATGGTGTTGAGGGCAGTGTCAGCACCAATGCTGAAGTCAGAGCCGGGGACGTTGTTGGACACGGTGGCAGGAATGACCACCATAGGAATGCACATCTCCTCATATTTCTCTCTGGCCTGAACCAGCTCGAGACCGCCAACATAAGCCTAAGGAAAGAGAAGACAGTTTATGTTTTTTGTCCATAGATCTTAGAAAAACAAGGTGGAAAGCGTTAACCTTTCGGACTCCAATCTTACTTCAAATCCACCAATGATCACCAAAGAATGGATGTTGAACTTTGCGATGTTCTGGCTGATTTGCTCCAACAATTTTCCTGGAAGAGTTCTATGACACACAGAAAACAATACAGTAAAAATATGCCATCAACCGTATTAATTCATTTTAAAAAAATGGAAAAGAGAACTACTATTAGTCTTACCTCTTTGTGCCCAACATTGAACCTCCTTTTCCAGTCCAGCCAGACACTGCAGTCCATGTGATGGGTTCAATCTGTAAAGCCAAAAGAACCAGCTTTAGATGCTACATGCCAATGTGCTATCTGTAGTTATGAGAGAAGATACACATAAAAAAAAGAGGGGGAGACGTCAAGATGCACATTGTCACAGATACAAGGTAATACATATACACCAACATATCAATTAAATGTCTTACTTTTGAAAAAAAAAAAAGTAATCAGATCAGAGCTCTTATGCTAAAGCACATTACAAATTATTTTTAGAAGCTTCCACAATGAAGTTTAAAACTTTTCAGAAATCAGAAATGTTGCTGCAAATGTACTATTCGGGGTCTACAACGTTGGCCGGAAGTCCAGAAAAAGACTGAAGACACTCAAAAAGTGTCTCCACATCCATTTAGAAAAGTGTCTATCAACGAGATTTTGCATTACAGTGCAACATTAATTATTTTTTTGTCCTTGCTTCAACAACCGGAACTTCAGAATTATATTTTTGTGCAGAACTTAGAAAGAAAAAAAAAAAGTCTGAAGCAGCGAGGGAAACGTTCGACTACCTGTCCATGAGCCAGACCGTCAAAGCCATCGTGGACAGCCAACATGTTGTGACCCTGGATGATGCCGATCCTGACAGCTGCTCGGACCGCCGAGTTCATTCCAGCACACGGGGCTCCGATGTTCATTATGGCCACATTGATGTTGCTCTGTCATTTAGGGAGGAACCCGGTTGTCAGTTTTACATGTAAGATTTTGCCATAGAATCTGGTGCAAAGGAAACAACCTGCTCACCTTCACATCTGGGGGATTTATGTGAGCCAGCAGCTTGTATGTGTTCCAGTTATTCTCAAAACTCCTGCATGTCATAAATCAGGTTGACTGACCAACAATGTAAACGCAATTCAAATTTTAAAGAAAATACCTCATTTGTTATTTTGATCTTTGCCAATTTCCTGATTTATGCTTTCACTTTTTACTGTAGCTTTTTTTTTAATTGTTTTTTTTTTTTTTTAAAGAAGAAACCCTAAATGATTTCAATCATCAATTCCTATAACAGTTGTGATACAAATAGAGATTTTACACATTATAAAAGCTGACATCTAATGGGAAAAGGATATCTTTCTGGCCTACGTGGTTCACTATTTTCACATATTACAGATAAAAAAAGATTATTCAGAATCCATTACAAAGAAGTGGACATTTAGGATGACACTACATACTTTCCTCTGAGCTTGATTGCATCCTCAAATCTTCCCTGAGCCATGGCGGCAGTCACGTCTTTGGTCTACGAGGACAAAATGGGAAGGGAGACGAAGGTTCTGAGAAAGCACCTCTCTGTCTTTGGGGAGGTTAACACACTTAGAACATTAGGTAGGAAATATTTTACCACTTGAACACACTCCATGAGGGGCAGTCTGACTGCTTGGTTTCCAGACAGGCTGACGACACAAGCAGGAGTGTCTGGAGTGGCCTCCAGCAACGCCATCACAGCTTCCACACCCATCCTGCTTCCCTGCACGACACACACACACACACACACACACACGCGCACACACAGCAGTTCGGCCACAAAATGTGCATCAGAACAGGTAGAAACTGAGCAGCTTGATCCAAATTTGATGGTCAGAATTTGATAGTCACCAGGATTCTGTCAAAGGCAGAAGGTGTTCCTCCTCTCTGTACATGTCCAAGAATAGTGGTGCGGGTGTCAAAGCCGAGCCTGTCAGTCACCAGCTGGGGACAGATCACCCCAAGTTGTTTGGCATTTTGACAGCACAGCTCAGAATACCATCATATAGTTCAAAATACATAAAGGAGAGCTTGCCTTTTTGATCTGGTCGGAAGTGATTGGTTTGCCATCTCTGGACATCGCCCCTTCGGCCACAATGATCACGTTTAGACGCGAACCTCGTGCCCTTTGCTGAAATTGAGAGGAAGGAAACTATCATAACTGCCTTGTGAACAGCAAGTGCAGGCGTCCATCTGTGAAAAAAGACAAACTGACATCTGTCAGCCTCCTGCATAAATGGTTCTCCCAGCCTTCATCTGGCGGCATCTCTGGAATGAACACCCAATCAGCACCACAGGCCAGAGCCGTCACCAGCGCCAGGTACCTGCAGCCACACAAACAGAGCAGATCCAGAAAACGGTCAGACAAAGACAAACGTGATCCCTGCAGGCCGACTTCATTCTGTAGATGTTAATATGTTGGCTTTATATTTCAGTGCTGCTTTTTCCAATCAATGTTTCGTTTCCTAATTACATTTTAAAAATAATTTTGAGATAATGTTCTGAACAGATGGTGTGTTTCAGATTTATCCAATTTCCACTTTCACTCCAAAAAAAGAAAGTATTTCTTTGTTGGATTGAGATTCCTAAAAAATAAAAAATGGCACATATTAGGGGATTTATGTAAAACCTGGAAACATAATTGATACGTTTAATTACCCCATCCTTCTGCCTGGTGTCTAGAAATCATCATATACTTCAGGAGGTATTTGTGGTTAAATCTGAATTGTGTCATGTGGATAAACAGTCATTTATGAAACCACCAGCACACACGGACACAAATTAATACATCAATATACTGACCCACAGTGTCTTCCCATCACTTCCAAGATGAATGTCCTCTGATGGCTGTGAATGAACACATTTTGTTTAATGGTTATTTATTCATTCATTCAAACTTTTCAAATCAAATCTGTGACAGCAATAGTTTCTGTCTGTCTGATTCATCATTTGCTGGGAATGTACATTCTCAATGTAAAGATGTACAGGAATGGGTCTGACCTCTGAGCAGTTGTAGTGATGGAATCAACCACCTCGATGATACGATGGAGGGCAGAATCCGTGCCAATGGTCATGTCGGTGCCACAGAAATCGTTGTCAATAGAGCCGACCATGCCAACAATGTTCAGGTGGGAGGATTTCTTGGCTTCTTGGTCTGTTATCTTACCTACAGATAAAGAGATATTTTATCAAATAAGATTATGTGAATAAAGAAATAATAGAAATGATTTGGTTCTTACAAAGGCCTAAATATAGGTTATTATGACTAACAAAACAAAAATAACATCACGCTGCATAACTATCGAAAAAACAAATCCTAAAGACATTGTAGGTGTGTGTTATTTCAATCAGACTGAGGTCCTGACCTTGAATTTTAACACCTATTCTGATGACTCCATTGTGGACTCAGTGACTTTAACACTCTGTGGTCATGTGGCTGCAGAACAAGCCCAAGTCATGCAAATTCTTTCAGAGAAAGAGAGAGGCCTTCTTAGCCGCCCTTACAAACAAGCTACACTACTTCTGTCTTTTTCCTAATTATACTGCCATGAACTTTAAAATATAACATGTTAACGTAAGCCTGTAGAGTCAGAGATATAAAACTGGGATTGTCTGTAATTTCCTCTGAGCACTGTATGCTGGGACCTCTGGGTGACTCCATCCGGCTTATTACTTATAATAAAAACGTTACAAAAGTCAGAAGAATGGGGAATTTGACACATTCTTAGTTATTTTAGCTTGTTCCTGTATTTACCAGCATGGACCAGGTCCGCCAGCAGGCCACTCCACTCAGTCCTGAACTCGTTGGCTCCAGTCAGACTGCCGTCACCTCCGATCACACAAAGGTTGGTGATGCCCAGCTTCACCAGGTTGCACGCGGCCTTCATTCGACCCTCTCGGCTCCTGAAGTCCTGACAGCGAGCGCTGCCGATGACAGTCCCACCCTGACACGTGCACGGATATGAGAAGCTGTTTTAGGCTTAAATCAGGGCGAGTTAATAATTATGGGAAATATGTGCATTCAAGCGAGCGAAAGGTGTGCAAAAACTTGTTGAATTTAATCCAAGTGAGGTCACATCATTTGCGATTAAGGGGATGATACTTTAAGGCCTTCCCCACTACTAAGCTGCTTTATTTAGACAACAGAGATGACAGAAATGTGAAACATGAGCTTCGGTCTTAATGCAACTCCACCATCCTGCAGTCAGATGGTTAGCCGTTTGATGTCAATGGAAAAAAAAAAAAAAGAAAATTTAAGTATCAAGTTATCAGAGCGTTTTGGATTAAAGGTCAACAGTCCAACTGGAGGAGCAGAAGAAACAGAAGCAAAATACTGACATGTAAGCGCTGAAGGGTCTCACTAGAGACTAAAGACATCCAGGATTTTTGTTTTATCCAGTTGTCTCTTAACAGTTGTTTTTTTTTATTAAAACTCAAGTTTAATGCATGCCGTGACCTTTTAACTACAAAGTGTCAACAACTCCCTGTTCCTCAACAAAGAGATGACAACGAGTCCATGGGTTTACACCTCGGTGAGAATTGTCTATAGGCAGCTACTCAGCCGTTTACGGCCGGCTTTTCCCTGTGAGCAGATTACCCTCAGCTCCCTCTGGCAGGAAACCGCTTTGCATGTATGAAGAGCAATAAAACCCAGAGTAGAAGACTAACTAAACCCTATTTTGGAATGTTAGCTGTTGTCCTTGATTTGACGGTTCTGGGCTTTTGGTGGGCTGTGACAGGAGGCGCGCCCTGTGTTTCCTCTTTGCGAGGCTGCAGTGAAAAGCTGCGCCGTGGAATAACGGCATCACTGGGGACTTCAGGAAGGCCATCACATTGTCAGTACTTTGAACTCACAAGCTGAAGCATCATAGACACACTTTCCCAGGTCGCCGGCCGAATATTTTCGCCTCCATCCACCAGGCCTTGGTACCCCTAAAGCACAAACACAGCATTGTCAGGCGAGTCTCATCTGTGATTGTTGCTGTACGGTCACCTATGAGCGGAACGCACCTCATGAACAAAGTAGACTTTCGCTCCGGTGTAGAGACCAACCCGGACTGTGGCTCTCACCGCGGCGTTCATGCCTGAGGCACACAAACATCATCTGTGAGGATCGTTTTACTGTAAAACGAGTCAGATTCTCCCAATTGCTCCCATAGAGAGAGATCTTGACAGTCTTGACCTTTAAAGGGACTTGACCTACACCGTATTACCAGATAAGACAAAAATAGCCGTGCGGAAAAGGACATGAGCAAAGTTTAGGGAACTGGATGTCTTGTGAGGCTTCTCACCCCGGATATCTGTACACTAAAGGCCACTATGAGAGTTTGTGTTGTGACAAGCTGGCATGCTCCAGCTCTTGTTTCAGCAGACAGCAGCTGTGGTGGGAGGGCATTTCTTCCCTCCATACCAGAAAAAGGTCAGCACCTCTAAAATTAGTCCCAAAGAGGTAAAATAAAGGAACCAATGACAGCTAAAGAAGTGAATCAATACAGCGGTTGGGACACTTGTTTAACTTTGAGCTAGCCAGAAGGCAAAAGGAAACTTAATGCCAGATACGTTTTAATTTTCTAAATAAGAAAAAAAACAACAACATAATCCCCATCTTCCTCATAAACACATTGTTTTAAGTTTTGTAACATGTCAACATTAAACCTTATACATGCATGTAATTCTTCATTAACATTTTTTTACTTGAAGTCTGATTCGGAGCAACATATCCATTAGTATGACAGCTGGCACCTACTTTTAACTCTGACATCCCAGAAAAAAAGTGCATTTTGCTTTGAAGATGCTGTGAGATCATCTTCCGTACAACACTTCATTGGTCTCCACAAAAAAGACAGATGCACACCATTGGGAGTCATTATTGTTCATAGACATCAAGTGGGTTAGGGGTGTTCTCAACTTATAGGTCCTGTTTGGTATTTTCATAGATTAGAGTAAGAATTTTAAAAAAGGGATCACCAGCGACCTACCTTGGGCATCTCCTCCTGAAGTCAGCACGGCAATGGACCGTCCCAGGCCCATCTTGGTGGGATCCATGGTTGGGTGGAGGTCTTTGGACATTTTCTTGACAGGACAGATGTCCTTGAAGAGGGAAAAAGAGGAGGGAAAAACACTAGTGTTCTTCCTTCAACCTGCTTCTAAGGGGGAAACACGAGGGAGGGCAAAGGCTTTATAGACCACTGTTACTGCTTTTGCCCCCTCCCACTGAGACCTGCACCACTCACTCCCTCACACAGCTGTACTAAATATAATGTGGTGGACAGTTACAGGAGACATAATGTACACAGCAGCAATGTACCAGGAACTAGTGTGAAGGCACGTCAGATATATCCAAATAATACACAGCCTCAGCCACCAAACTGCACCAGAGGTTGACTGCAGAGCTGATTAATACCAGCCTTGTTCAATCAGCTTGTCACCTGAACAGAACAGTTTCAGAAGTAGTTATTTGATGACTGAGAAACACAGCAGGTCAAGCTCAATTGCAACTCTGGAATAAATCAGAAAGACAAAAGCTGGAATGCTTGAGTCAAACATGGGTGTGAGGTTCTGTGAATCCATTCATCCATCGTGAAATATTATGTAGACATAAAGAGGCCAATCTTCTATTGACTTACAGAAACTTAAGGCTTTTTTATCCTAAGTTAAGGTTAGTGTTCATCTGCTAACAGAACAGCACTGAGCAAAATTGTCTTGATGATGAGGGGAGTTTTGTTACACAGTTATGGTGACTTGATACAAAATGGAAACTATATGTATTATTCATGGCTGCAGTCGACTTTGTAGGTAGGAATGGCACTTTTTAGGATGCATGCTTTTTATTTGACTTTATTAAGGCTCCTATTAATACAGCTGTGATTTCCAAACAATGAAAAACAAAATGTCTGCTGTGAAAACAAGCCTGCAGCCCAGAGATTGTTGGCTGCTCTTAGGTTTGCTCTGGTGTGTGGGTTGGACCTATACATTATACAGTTCTAATAATAACTATATAGTTGTTATATATTATTAGAGGGCTCCTGGTTTGAATCTCAGCTGGCTCATTATAGTGTGGAGTTTGTAAGTTCTCCTTGTGCATGTGTGGGTTGTATCTGAAACCCAAGCTTCATTCCACCATACAAAAACATGCATGTTAGGTTGATATTTCTAAATCAACCTCAGGAGTGTGTGAGATTGATAGTTTCACTTTGCATCTGTGCGTACTGATTACTATGGTAATCAAATTAAACTCTGATTAACTTTTTATAAAATTTTCTCTTAAACTTAACATTTTAGTCCATCCCAAGTTGACCTTTAAAAAAAATTAATTCATAAAATTCTCCATAATGGAAGAGATGATTCAGGTTTCCTGCAATTAACTTTATTTTTAAAACTGAATATCTCTAAATGTAAGAAAATGTATTACGTGCCAGTCTTAATGATCTGAAGTGTTAAACAACAACACATGGCCCATAAGTAACAATCATATATTTATTACATATAATACACTCAGAAATATTTTCAGTACACAAAATATCTGTTAGTAAATCTGAATACCTAATTCAATGACGCTTTAGCTATGAAAAAGATCCGAAAGTCTGCAGAAACTAGTTTACAGGCAGTGACGTCACTTTTAAAATCAGTACACAGAGGTGAGCTTTTCAGTGTTAAAGGAAACTAGAAACGGCTCGATGTAGTGCAAATTATCTCTCGTGCAGTGGTGGACTGGAAGAAACATCACAGTCAATTGGAACAAATCTCTGAAAAATAAAACAAAGATACTGATTTAATCCATTAAAAAAAAACACAAAAAAAACAGCACGAAACTCAGCAACGGTGGTTATTTGCATCGGCAGCTTTTTTTCTGTACGCAGTCTGTTTTTACTTACTGTGGAGTCCTCAAAGTGCAGGATGGAGGCCAGCGGGTTTCCACAGCGAGGCCGAGGGGGGACAAACCCGGGAGTGGCAGGGATGGACACGGCGGTGTAGGTGGCCACCTCTTCATCCATCCGCAGCTCCTCTAGAGGAGGGAGACGCTTCCGAAGCATGGCCATCGCAGGGTTTAATGAGCAGGACTTCTGGAGAATGAGCTCTGAAGAAAAAAAAGGGGATGCGCTTAAAGTGCTGCTGTCTTATTAAAGGATTTTGACAGCGCTTTTAAAAAACAGACCAAACACAGAGATAACTTCTCGTGGGGGACGCGAGAGGCCTGTGGTACCTGTGTTCAGACACTGAAACGAGGGGTTGCTGAGACCTGTGGGCTCTCCTCTCTGTTGGGCCCACACTGCACCAGGCTGATCCTGCAGAGCTGCACTCTTCAGGTTCTCAAAGCGCGGTGCCCTCAACAACTTTTTGCCCGTCGAGAAAAAAATGACGGACTCTCTGGGCGGTGCTTCATATGTCTTCTGCTCATCATCATCATCATCACTGCTGGTCCTGCTCGTGTCTCCTTCACAAAGATGCTTATTCTGAGAACAAGAGAAAACAAAATACACAATAACCTCATGGCTGATCTTTCCCCAAAACTGAATTCACTCTAAATATGGATGACTGGCTGTTTGTTTTTTTATTTCACTTCATACAGATGAGGGCTGAAGCGGAAACTCTTCTGCTTGTGGCGCAGCAGCTTTGTCCGTCACGTTGGTGCTCGGCTCATCTTCTGGATCATCGAATAATCTCTGGACAACTTCCTGCTGACAGACAACGTCACTTGAAATGAAACTCAGTACAGTCTGTTTATTTTTAGCTTGAAAAAAGTTTTAAAAAAAATTTCTGAGCGCATTTCATTATCAATATCTGCATTCATGTCGACTTCAGTTTGAATCAAAACAAACAGGAAGCAGTGCTGAGAAAACCAAAGTTTGCAAACCGAGACATCATTTTTCCATTTCACGTTCATCCAATAAACTACCATCACATGTTTAGCTGTGGACAACTTTACGTTGTACTAAAACCCACTTTTTGACTAAAACATTTGTGTGGTTCGCAGATTTCCAGAGACACTCTTATCAACATGACCCTGACGTGCTCTCACCTCCTGATGTGGCTGAATGTTGCTTCTGCTGCTCATGGGTGCAGGAGTGACGTATGGAGACTGCTGTGTCTGCTGATGCCATTTCTGAAACCGGGAGCAGGGTGAGATAAAAGGCCGTAACTGCATGAGACACCCAAAGGGGGTTTGTGTGTGAGCGTGTGTACGAACCATAGCAGACATGGGCTGATGCTTGGTGTTGCGGACTCTCTGTGGAGTCCATTTCTTCAGTGGAGTCTCTTTGGGTGCTGCTACACAGAGGAAAACAGTGGTGTCATGCTGGTGTTGGTGGAAAGGACAAACACAGAAGGTTTCTCTCTAACACTGCTGCAGCTTACCCACTCGACCACCAGTTGGATCCGCAGTGTTTTTTCTAACAGGCACTCTCTGAGCCTAAGAAAAAAAAAAAGAGAAAAACAAAAACCCTCAAACTGCATCTTTCAAAAGCAGCATGGTAATCTAAGAGGAATTTCAAAAATACAACAAGCAAGATGAGAACAGGAATTGACAAAAATGGGAGGTGTTCATACGGTATAGATGGATGTGGCTCTGCCAGGCGGACAGACTGAACCTCTAGGGGTGGCAGCCACTGGGTTCTTCACACCCTCGTTCAGGAGGATACTCTGGAGAGCAGCGGGGTCCGGTGAGAACCCAGCTGACCTCACTGGACCTGTGAGAAAGGCACAAAGGCATTGCATCAAGCAGAAAATAAAAGACAGACGGCATGTTTTCATATGCTGCATTGTATACACACCAATGTAGTTTAGTTAGTTTTATACTGAAATTGTTTTTCATATCTAAATATAATATATAATACGTTATAAAATATTATTAATATAATATATAATTATAATTTAAATAGTTCAGTTTCCATTAAAGTTTTTTCCCCACTAATTCATGTATTGAAATACTTAGTTTTTTTCACTGTTAAGAACAGACAAATTGTAGGTAAATACAGACATTACCTATGTTAATTGAATTTGTAAATTTTGACCCTGCAGCTGTACAAAAATAGAACTATGCCTTACTACTGCTTGAGCCTTCAATGCTTATTTGCAGAGTTCCTCATAAAGCCACCATGTATTTTTTTGTAGTTTTGCTCTTTGACTCGCAAATAACGAGGCAGTTTTGTACTGTGATGTCACTGGGGATGTAAACACATCGTGTTCTCTTGCGTGATGCTGACCTGTGGTGGGTCCGGCTTTTTGCCGACTCTTCAAGATGGACACTCGCTGTGGCTGCAAACAATGCGATTCATGAAATCTTTGACTGCTCAAAATAACTCCCCAGACGGAAAACAGAGACTAAACACCAACAGTCATCAGTAAAAATAGCTGGAAAAAAGCACATAGTAAAAAGGGGCACTACTGCACAGCTGGGAAACCTAACTCACCAGGAAAGGTTTAGAGTGAGGAAATGCAGACACCTGGCCTGCAACACTAACTCCCTCATTTCGAAGGATACTTAGCAAAGCAGCATGATCTGGCTGGAAGTTGTCTCCTGAGGCAAAAATGTACAAAGTCAAACCAAGAAACCGCTCAGAAGAAAAAAAGTAAATCAAGTCAAGTAGATTCAAATTGATTTCATTCAAAGAGTCTCATCACTGGTGCAAAGGTGCCAAGCAAATATCATCCCTGCAAAGTGAAGAGGAAACCCTACACTCACCATTCAAAGCTTTAGCAGGAGGGTCCGGAATGGTTAGCTGTGGAGTCTGATCTGTTTTCAAAGTGCTGTGTGGCTCTTTGAGGCTGAGCAGGTTCATGTTGTCCAGACAAACCTCTGCACCCAGAACAGGCTGTGCACAGGATGTGGCTTTCTTTTGATGTAATGCGGTACCAGGAACAGATGACAGAGGGTTTGACAAAGTGGCTGAAGTCTTTAAGGTGTTGGACAGACCAGACTGTCCCGACAGGTGGGATGTTTTTTGTTTGGATGTTCCATGAGACTTCCCCACGGCCTTACCTGAGTGCATGTTATTGTTTAGCACATCTCTGTGTTCAGTCATTTTTGAACTGCAAATCTTTTTTTGAGGTCGTATTGAAAGAGTCTGAGATTGCAGAGAAGTTAAATGTTGCCGACTTTCATTTGCCATTTTAGTGTTTTTGGGCTGTGACAGATTGAACGGTACAGGCCGAGTGCATGGCTTTTTCTTCTTGGTTTTGCCCTTCAGGAAAATAGGAAAGGAATAAGAATTAATTAAAATAATCAAATTAAGCCAGACTTACTTGAAACTAAAGGACACAAAGGAGATACTTACAGCTAAAGGTTTCTCTTCCCACCTGAGGTGGGACTGTCCGAAGTCAGACGGAGTCTGCAGACGAACGGACTTCGCAAGTACTGGAAGCCTGCTTACAACTTGTTGCAAAGGTGGTTTCAAACAGGATTCTGCTGGATCTTTGTTCTCGCTGTCTTTTTTGGAGAGATGGGATGATGGCAATGGCTTGACACGCTTTGGACTTGCTTGTTTTTTATTGTGTTCATTATTCATTCTGTGTTGAAAGGGAAAAAAACAACTAATTGAGTAATTTCAGTAAAAATAGAAACCTAAAAATCTGGTCAAAAAGCATTGAATGCAATTTATTTCAAAACAATCGATCATTTCTTCTGCAGCCACAAATATGTTTAGCTGAAAACAAAGAAAATGCAGAGAGGAAAAATGAAGTACGAGTGTCTTTCTACTTCTTAAGATGTCTTACCTTTGAAAGTCACTTCGGATTTTGTTCTGACTTTGTTGACGAAGGATCGGAGAGGAGTCCATGGTGATGGCAGGAGGGGGAGGCCAGAGAAGAAGAACAAAACAACTGCAGGAACCAGAACAAATGTAATTTGAACAATCAAGCGTGAAACATCGCGCATGCTTATGATAAACAGAATATAAGGATGCAAAAACCGAACAAAAATAACCGCATCCAAGATAACGAGTGCAAGATCGGACGACTTCACAAAATAATTAAATCTAATATCATGCACAGCTCACACCAAGACAATAACAATCAAAGGCAGAGCAGAGTTAGCTTTAAGCCACAGACACAGAGGGCTACTTTAAAGCACGCGATACACAAGATAGACAACGAAATGCTAATTTCAGGGTTAAAAAATGCCCTTCCCTCTACTTTCTTATGACCTACTCAACTACTTACAACTTGGCTAATGTCAAACTCTAATTCGATTTAGTTTACCCGGCGTTTATTGCTGATTTAAAAATCCCTCGGCCAGTTCTTTATTGCCATAGAGCAGGACTGTCAACTTCCTGAACTCTGAGCAGTTTGTAAAAAGCGCGCTTCGCTATTGGTCACAAGAAAAAGCCGTGTCAACGAATGACTGACTTCATTTTGGCCATGACGCGATCTTAGACCAATGAACAGCGGCTCTTGATAAACAGCTCTATGGCAACGATGCGGGACTTCTTTTGTCACGTGATTGTTTTTTTGCCGCGGCGTCCCCATCAACAGAGATACAGCCGGAGCGATTATTTTGTTGTAGTCATTACTTGTCTACATACATGTATTAGGATTACATTTGTGAAATACATTTAGATATGCAATATATGTTATAAACATAGAATGTCGAAGTGATAAACTAAAAAAAGATAACATCGTATCAATAAGAATGTATTACCAATACTAATTCATTAATTAAGCAGACTAAAAAAAGAAGTTTTAAACACACTCCAATGAATACAATTAATCATTTTGTTTAAAGAAAAAATGCCTTTTTGGGCTAAACAGGATTCAACAGTTGTTCCCACCAAGTGATTGTCAGACTAAGATTTTATTTAGGGTCCAAAGATTTCTGAATTGTACTCCATGTTCTCTATAATCAGTCTCTACTTCACTTTGACAAATGTTTTGATTTTTGCCTCAGATAATAGATGTGTCTGCTTGCTTTACAGTAGCTGCAAAAAATGAGGACTGTCTGGAAGTCATCACCACTGGTAGCCTGGTCACAAAATCACACTTCCGCAGGCACGCCCCCCCCCCCCTCCCCCCCCGTCCCCCCCACACACAGTGTGGCCCTCCCTCTGTTTCAGTTATCACGGATGACCAGCAGGTGGCGCCCCCGACGGGCGTCTTCATGCCGTGTCTACCTCACAGCAGCAGGCGTGAGTGTGTGCGTGTGTCTGCCTGTCACCCGGGGGCCCGTGTCAACAGTAGAGGGAAGAAGAAGAGGACACGTACAGAGGAAATCAGAAAATAACGCTACTGCAGACATGGACTTGCGGTCTGAGCTGCTCAAGTCCATCTGGTACGGTTTCACAGCCTTGGATCTGGAGAAAAGTGGGAAGGTGTCAAAGTCTCAGCTGAAGGTGAGTGGATGGTTCTCCACCTGGAAGATGAAACTTACTACAAGATCACCCCCCCCCCCCTTTTTATTTTTCTGTTTTTTAGACTTGTGCTGCCTTATTTCCTCACTTTCTATTCTATCACATGGGCTCAGTCTATAAGAAATTAGTTTAACCTAAACAAACATATGCTTTGTCGCTTATTAATAGGGTGTTGGTGCTTCAGGATGTAAGGGTGGTTCATCATGAATATTTCCTGTGTGTAGCTTTTTACTTTTTTTAACACTTTGTTATTTGCAACGAGGAACAAATTTGTTCCCTATGTTTGGCGTAAAATGCTTAGCCTGCTGAATGATAACAATATGCACTCTGTGTTGAAAGAGCATGCGAGTAACAGTTTGCTCTCAGTCTGTATATGAATGGGAGCCCTCATCTCCAAGCTGGGCTCTCGCTGGGCCTCGATATGCCATCTTGTAGTGCAAAGAGACCTCTGGCACTGGAAAATAGCATGTTGAATGAAGTACGCTCGCAGCATGCCCGTCAAAAGAACATTGTTGCAGTGAGAGCAAGGACAAAGTGGAAACATGCTGCTGATCTCTGTCTCATGAACGAGGCCACTGTACTTTTTGTTGATCTCACTGTTATGTCACTCGGTGTGGCTCTGACTCCATTTCCAGCCACCTCCACGTTCCGACAATGTGCTGGCTGGCACTCCTGGCTCCAAACCACTCGGCCTCATGACTGGGCTTATCCCCCGCAAGCCTGCGTGCAGGCTCCGTGCTCTGTGGAGGCGCAGGCAGGCCAGCCGTTTGCATGTCGTGGCCTCAAAAGCTCACAGATGTTGTAGAGCACTGGAGACAGGATGTGGTTATAGCTCAACACACACAGCAAGAAGGTTTACGATAACAGGCGGCCGATATCTCCAGATGCTGCTGGAAAGTATTTACTGAATAAATGAGACTTTAGTGGAAACATCAGATTACACAGTTACTATTTTCACTTACATTTGACATATTCCTTTTTTTTATTGTTGAATAATTGGATACCTTTTCGTGGCATTTATTTCTTATTTCTTATATCTATATTTTATTACAATATATTTATTCTGCTACACTGAAATCACAGTGATGTTGTTGAGATGCAAATAATTTATTTACTAGTTACTTTCTACATCGTACCCCACAATATTCCTACAATCTATACTATTAAGTATAAAGAATTCTACAAGTAGAAAGAGAAAGCGTTTTACAATTAAATCCAATGCCCAAGATCATGTATGTTAAGGAATTGGCTTTTAATACATTTAGAATACAACCCCAAGGAAAGCTATTAGCTTCACATATAGCTTAACACGTGGTGTAATGTAATAGCAGCTTTTAGATGCTCGCGTACAAGGTGTGAAGAACAAAACTTCTTATTCAGTCATGTAGCGAAGAGGACCGAGACGTAAACTACATCACAGGAAACACTAGCAGAAGTGCCTGCTCTGAGAGCATGAAGCTTTGACTGGGATCAAAGCGTGACACATCAAGACAACGTCAAAGTTTTAGCTCTGAACAGAGGAAATTACAGAGAGGGAACCAAAAGCAAGCACCGAGCATGAGGGCTAACAGGTTGATTGAATAGCGTGGTGGAGGAAGGAGCTGAAAGTGAGACGAGCTGCGACAACCCGTGAAGCAGACAAAAGTTCAGAGCATGGGCCAAACAACGCATTCAGCATGACCTTTACCAATACTGACACAGAAAATATGGAAATCATAAGTATAGGGAACATTCAAACAGAACTAGGAGTATAACAGAACAACCACAGCCAATGGCAGCTTATATCTGCAGACAAAGTGTCTCAGAGGGAGTTTTGAAAAGATAAACTTGTTTGGAACACTAGAAGCAAGATAACATGCAGCGTATTTTCAGCGATCTATGCACAGTTTGTACCATGTGAGATCATAAGCTGCCAGATAACTTTCGCCAGCAACTTAAGTTGTCGGCATCATGACTTGCTCCGCTTGGGGAAATGATAAACGCATGCTTTCAAACTGAGGGCATCACGCTGCCAGATATTTGAGCTGATGAGTGAACAACAGATAAAAAGATGATGACACCTAAACCACACCATGGGTTGAGTCCAGAAGAAACACCGGTGTTTTTCTTCATGTCTATAGTTAACTCTTAGACAAATTCATCATCTGGCTTTTTGTTTTTAATCAGGTCCCCTTTTACATACATTTAATCTGATCAAACTGAATATTGTTGCTGTCCCACCAAAGTATTAAGTAGGATTTGTGTCCACTGTCAGCTCTACCACATAAAGCATTTATGTGGATCAGTGTACTTTGAGGGGCATTAATGTGTGTGAGGGTGTTACATGACCAGAGTGTAATTGAATCATTTATTTTAAAGCAAGCAGAAATCTTGTGCAGTTTTAAAAGCCTTTAAAGTCGTCTTCTTCTTTTGTTTAAGGAGTAATTCCTTGAAAACCTTTAGCTCTTCCTTTACCAACTTGGCAACTCTGTTCTCGTTTTTCTTTTTTTTTCCACTTATGTGTGCAAAAAATGTGGTCTTCGTAGAAAAAAAAAAGCCAAATGCAGCAGAAAAAAATCTAAAACTTAAGTCCCCTGAAGTTTCTGTTCAACATTAGATTTTAGAATTTTTCTAACATACAGTTTATCATATTGAACAATCATTTACCCACTTTTTGATAAAACAGCATCACATCCATGTTAAATTTGATTTTTTTAGGTTTTGTCCCACAACCTCTGCACAGTCCTGTCTATCCCTCATGATCCAGTTGCTTTAGAGGAGCACTTCAGGGATGATGACGATGGCCCAGTTTCCAGTCAAGGTTACATGCCTTACCTCAACAAATATATCCTGGATAAGGTGAGGAACACAGCAGCCCTCTGCTCTTGTTGTTTTTCCAAACACAGCCCTTAATCACGGAATTCATATTGCTGTAGGTTGTGGAGGGGTCTTTCAATAAGGAAAACGTCGATGAGCTCTGTTGGACCCTCACGGCAAAGAAAAACTACCAACCAGACAGAAGCAGCAGCTCTATTCTGCCAGAGAAGGATGCTTTTCGGCTTTGGTGCCTTTTTAATTTCCTCTCTGAGGACAAGTACCCTTTGGTTATGGTTCCAGATGAGGTGAGTTCAGCCAGAACGCTTATGCATTTTCTCACTTTTTTCTGGTATAATCAACATAACATAGTATTAGTACAGAAAATAACCTTTTTTGTAGTGTTCTCTAACTTTAACCTTATTTTTTTCAGTTAATTATACTCAGATGTTTACTAAAACTCTGAAGCTGCAGTCAGTAATCTGTGAGAAAAAAGGGGAGTCGGATCACTGAGTTCACTGGCTGAAACTTTGCCTCTTGCCATGATGGAACATGGTGCTCTTTTCATGCAGCCGTGTGGGCTTGTTCCTCACTTGCAAACTCTCAGTTTGGTTTCCTGTCGTGCATTTTTCACAGCCGTTGCCAACAGAAAGCCTCAAATTTCAAGGCCAAAGTAGTTCCTTTCACACACTCACTTAGTTTAGCTTTTCACACGCGTGGTACAACACACATGGCAGTGTTACTACAGGACCCTAATTCAGACCACCAAACAAATTACACGAAAAGCATAAAAGAATTCATGAATAAACTTTTACTTTATAAAAGCTTTTCAGTAAAACTACATCTTTTTCCTCCTTCACAAATAGAGGAACATACTATTAACGACCTATCACTCCTTCCCTCTGCAGGTGGAATACCTCCTCAAGAAGATATGCATGGCTATGAGTATTGAGTTCAACTGTGTTGAGTTAGAAGACTTCTTTTCCCAGGATTCAGTGCAGCACAGCGGCATTACCGTCTGGATTTTTTTAGAGATGATGAATTCCGGCAAGGTCACCCGGGGAATCGATAAAAGCATTATAAGCATGGCTATTGAGGAAGTGTATAGAGAGATAGTTGGTGATGTTCTTAAAGAGGTGAGAGACCATCTGTTACCATGTAGGTCTATGTTTGAGTTCCCAGCAGCCCCAGTGACAGCATGTGTGCATGGTCTATTTGGATGCATTCAGGGTTATCTGTGGAAAAAAGGCCAGCTAAGGAGAAACTGGAAGGAACGCTGGTTCACCTTGAGGCCCAGCAACTTGTCCTACTACACTGGGGAGGACCGGAAGGACTGCCAAGGCAACATAGTCCTGGATGGGAACTGCTGTGTGGAGGTGGGCTGCTGTGAATGATCACTTTTTGTTTAAGAGATAGACGTACATTCTTCAGCATGTCCACAAAAACACAAAATCTTTCGACACGTTCGCCACCCGCTGCTGAATCAAAACACCAGCCTCTTTTGAAAGCAGTTCCCACCATGTGGGTGGGGGATTACCCCAAGATCCCACAAGCTGAATCTGAGAGGCCAACAAAATGGTTACCAGACACTTGTGATGGCATTCATCTTCGAATTTTCCTTTTCAGTTATTCGACATTTAAAAAATCCCTGAAACATTGAGACAATCCAGACTGTTCTCAGGATTTTAAGGACTCTGAAGGGAAGAACTATCTGTTTCTCTTAGTGTTTAGTTTTGTTCACTTCTGTGTTTGCTGTATTGAGCCATGCTGCTGCAGTAGGGGCGGAATCTGAATGAAAGCATGTGCAACTCCAAAGCCGTTCTTTGAACGGGCTCAAATCCTATTGTTGAGTATCTTTTATTCTTCGCTCTGAGAGTATAATGTCATTTGTAGAAGCAGTAACTAAATCAGCTCAGTAAGCCAAAGTTTTCTGAAATTTTCTTGTGACCCTACACTGATTTCCACCTCAGAATCAGGTTTGCGTTTAACAAGAGAGCCTGAAGATTTACAAATGCCGGCAAGTCAACTTAGCTTTATGTGTACAGACATTTCTCCGAATTTTGAACCTTCCCTCAAATTGCTTAATCATTTAGGAGAAGTTCTGTGTGCAGCTTTTTTTTCAACGTAGCAGGAGTGCAAACCTCAGAGTGCCGAGGTCGAGCAGAAGGTGGAGATAAGGATGAGGAGGCAGGATGGTGTATCCAAACTGGGAAGTTGGGAGCTTTCAGCTGTTTCTAGAATCTCAAACATGCAGACTGTCCCTCTGTCTTTCTAGTTGTAGCTGAATATTTTATTCACATAGATTTCTGTTACAATTAACCAGGTAGCGTTCCACTTTATTTGATCTCATAGAATGAGTAAGTGTGTTGCTGTAGAATGCTGATAAATGACGTGTCACCAGCCTCCGTAGACCCTCAAGGTCTCATGAGGAAAATTCCCCCTTTTTCTTTGCACTATCACCTCCCACTGGGTTGTTTTCATTCTGTCCTTGAGAAAGAATTTCATTTCGATGTTTTAAAAGTCAACCAGATAAAGGAACAAAGAAAGCTGAACGTTGCTATGTTTCACATTCAGATTTCCTCTGAAACAGATGTCCTTTAAAATCTCAGGAACCTCAGTTCAACAGAACTAATTAGTCACTCATGAATGATCTTTTCTACGTGTAAAGAATGGGTGTTTGTGGTTTCTTTCAACATAAAGTCGCGACGAATGACGGGCTACAACTGGATCAACACAAATGACACGTCTTTAAAAACGAAAAGAAAAGGAAGCAGCCATGCAGTTTAACATAACTGATTTAATAATATATTACTAGTAATTAAATGGTAATTAAATTATATAGTATTTAATTACTTGTAATTATATGATAACTAATGGAATATTATGAATAATAGAAAGATCAGAAAATTGTTATCCAACAGAGACAAAATTAATACAACCAATTAAATGTATGTTTTTCTTTTTTGTTTGATCAGGTGCTGCCAGACCGAGATGGGAAGAGGTGCATGTTTTGCCTGAAAACCCTCTCCAAGACTTATGAAATGAGCGCCTCAGACACCAAACAGAGACAGGAGTGGACTACAGGTTAAACGAGCCTTGCACCGTCTAAGTCAAAAATCCGTTTGTAGAATCTCATCTCCCTCTAAAGATATGGATGGTCTTCCTCTGTGCAGCCATTCAAACAGCCATCAGGCTGCACGTGGAGGGCAAAAAGTCCCTCCACAAAGACCTGAAGCTGAAGCGGCGGGAACAGCGCGAGCAGCGGGAGAAAAGACAGCAGGCCAAGGAGGAGGAGCTGCAGAGACTCCGGGCTTTGCAGGAAGAACGGGAGCGCAATCTGGCGGAGCTGGAGCTCCTGAAGGAGGCGCAGAAGCAGGCGCAGGCGCTGATGGAGCTGGACGAGCAGAGGAGGCGCCAGCAGCACGAGCAGCTCCAGCGGGCCCTGGAGGTCCAGCTCCGGGAGGCCGAGGAGGTGAGCGAGACGGCGAAGAAGGGGGAGGCCAAACAGCGGAAAAAGGAAGAACCCCTCCGGATCCTTTTGCATCTGCCTTTGTGTTTTCAGGCCCGGGTCAGCATGCAGGCCGAGATGGCTCTGAAGGAGGAGGAAGCGGAGAGGCAGAGGAAGAGGATCCAGGAGCTGGAGGAGATGCAGAAGCGTTTGGAGGAGGCGCTTCAGCAAGAGATCAAAGCCAGGCTGGATGAGGAGGCATTCCGCTACGCTCAAGCAGGGTGAATATCGGACGAAGTCCGGCCGAACCGATGTGAAGCATCTCTGTACGCTGAGCTGAGGGTCCAGGGTTGCTTTGACGTGCAGACTCTTATCAGGCCGATGAGTTCTCGTTAGAATAGAATAGATTTGTTGCGATACGTTCCTGAGGAAGTTGAGCCGCCAGCACAGGAAGTTGTTAAACTGTGCCGTCGCACAGTCGCACAGTTTAGTGTTCGCTGTTCCCTCTCCGCCGTTGAATTTCTGGTTAAGCCAGACAACACCTCCCTTTATGTCCATCACAGAAGAACGTTTCACATTTGTTTTCCTCTGCTTTGCTCAGGCTGCTGGCTGAGGAGGAGGAGAAAATGAAGGCCCTCATGTCCCTGCAAGAGGAGCAGGAGGAATACATCATAACGACGCAGAGGGAGAAGCAGGAGCTGAAGCAAGAAATGGAGGCCAAGTCTCGGGCTCTTGAGGAGGCTCAGAGGCAGCTGGAGGAAGTCCGAGCTAATCGGCACAGGGTGGACCAAGACGTTGTGGTAGGTTGAAAAAAACATGGAGGTGATATTTTATTCAAACTGGGTGCTGTATGTACACTGGGTGCTGTATGTACACTGGGTGCTGTATGTACACATTGTGCTTGCCAAGGCAAGCACAATGTGTACATACAGCACAAAAGAACATTACAGCTACATAAAATAAAAAAGGCAAATAGATACATTCCATCAAATGTTTAAAATGTTTTTTTTTCATTAGTTTCATTAGGAGAGGAGAATTAATATTTTCAGTTGTCATATTCACAGCTAAATTAAGTCAGACCTTCATTTCTAAATAAGATACATCTGTAGGTGCAGACAGATGGAAGTGTGTTAAGATCAAATAGCATGCAGAGAAATAAAAATAAATTTCTCCTTTGTTTTATACTAATTTTATCATCAGTTTATTGGATTTGAATAATACATGGGACAGATGTCAGAAAGAGGCTGCTCTGTTATTTCAGCCAGCTAATACATTTTACCAAGAATCTGATACTAAATGCTCATACAATGATATAAAAAAAAGATGTAGAAACAAGCAGGTGGAAGCAGCCTTTAATCAAATAAGCCTGCCTGTTTCTTTAAAAACATATTTTAGCTTACCTCGAGGTTTCTCTTATCATTTGATGCCTTAATGTTGATAAAGTTAAAACGAAATGGTTATTTCTAGCTGGTTCTGATGTTTGTAGAGGAAAGAGAGAAACCACCAGGGGGAAAAAAATAATAAAAATCACCCACAACAAACAGACAGATGAAGCTTCATGAAGTGTTAAGCAGGTTGTTTTCTTCTCAGAAGCTGATGCTAGTGAAGAGGAATCATTTTGAGGTATTTTTTCCTCCAACAGGCAGCCCAGAGGAAACTTCGCCAGGCGAGCACTAACGTCAAACACTGGAATGTCCAGATGAACAGACTGATGCGACCAATTGGACCAGGCGGTGAGTGTCCTGACAAGCGTGAGCATGGTTTTTCACGATAATTCATTGTGATTTATCATTTATCAACTTAATAATGTTTTTCAAGCCGCTGTCATATTTTGGGGGTTTTATGATAGCATAAGAATTTAAACTGGGTTCCAGTAGTAAAGGCACAAGTAAGGTCTAAAGTGTGCTAAGTGTTCCTTAGCACAGAGTTCATGAATGTTGATGGGCAGTTTTTCACAAGTAGGACCAAATAGGTGTTAGTTATATTTCATTAAGTGGTCTGTAAATAAACTTCCATAGAATTGATTTTTTTGTTTTCCAGTCTGTGAATGTATATTGCAGAACTCAGTCTGAGAAGTAATTAGGTTTTCTCTGTAACCTTTTTTAATGCAGAGAAAAGACCATCTTTGGGAGGCTCTCACTCCACCTTCCAGATCCCGACACAGAGGGACCCCGGGCTTCGCCTCTGGGGGCGATCAGGATCAGAGGATCAGGACGAGGAGAGCAAAGAAAACGTTAACAAGAGAGCTGGGTCTGATTTAGAGAAGCGCCGCTCAAATGCCTCCAACGGAGACATGGACATCCCCTAAAACATGAATCAGAGAGGATGCTTGGTTTCCCCCGGTGAGGTTTTCTGACAGGAAAGCCAAGAGACAACGGCCTAAAGTGTGAACATTATGAAAGCAGTGGGATCTCTGCACTCAAAACTGAACTGATAGTACTACCATTTCTTGTTAATGTTGCATTTACTGACCTCATAACAAAGTACAACAGCAGTTTAAACCATTTTAGTGAGTTCTTCCAGTTGCTACTGCTTGGCCACTGATTCGGATGCACCCTGAGAGAGGCCTGACGTGTACAAACATGATACCTCAGCGCAAATAAAAGGAGAATGCAAAGTTAGGTGCTTTAAGGGTCAGTCCTACATACAGTGCAGGAAGTGTTTGTTGTGGTGATTTTGCAATTTAGCCTTGTTTGGTTTCTGTCTGAGACATTGTCGCCATTGTGGCGGGTGACTTTTGATATAGTGTTGGTTCAGTATTAGTTTGTAAAATATATTTCCCTAAAACAGGAAAGACTGAAAGAGAGAGAGAGAGGAGAGGGTAAAGAACTTCCTGTTTTTAAAGTGATGTAACATTATTGTAAATAAAAGAGTGAACTGATGATGTACCCAGATTTCTATCTGTATCTTTATTGAGTAGAACTGTGCATTACATCTAGTTCAAAGGTTAAAGTCTTCATTATCAAAAGTGATAACATATTAAAAACAATTAACTAAACTGCTGGTATGTAAAAAAAAAAAAAAAAAAAAAGAGCTACAGACGACGTGTTGGAAGAAGCTGACGCCCACATTACTCAACGTGTGAGCCGAACGTCGCCTTTAGTTTGAATTTGAATCTACCTCATTTGCTACTGTGAAATGCGTCATCACCGACTCATCTGTCACCTCTCAGTGATAAAACCTGAGCAAACAGAGACATCAACTGACAACAAGGAAAACAGCACCCTGCCTGGTCTGATTTAGTAGGACTAACTGTTTTTCAGTAGGGTGTGTCCTCAAATGTAATCTGGTGGTATGAACTTCTGATCTTTTATTCTTGAATAATAATGATACATTTTTGTCAAGTTAAGGCAGTTTCTAATTTACAGTAGGGAATACTAAGTGTGAATTAAACATTTACATAGAAAGTAGGATTTTGATGTATGATATCCTGTGTAGGGGACAAATATTGAATGTGGTTGTGACGCGCATGATTAGGTTTAAAAGTAGGAGCTTGCCGGAGATTCCTGTAAAAGAAAGCAATAATACTACCAAATACTCTGAGAGTTTTACCTTCTTATTTCTTGGGGGAATTTGGTGTTTGATAAAGCAGCACTAAATCTACAAGATTATGAGGGCAGACTCATGGCAGATTAACCTGTTAGTGTGGCCAAAGAGTACTTAGGGTCCTAAAGTACAATGTTTCCATAGTAATATTAAATGGCTATGAGTGATTCAGTCAAACAGATATGTATATATAGTCATTTTTCCTTTTCTTTATACCACTCTAACCACTCTAGTGTTTTTCTCAGATTAAAGACAAGAACAAAACCCCCCATGTCAGGTGATAAACCAGGCTGTGCTTTTTACTGTTCAAACTATCTCTGGTGATGTTGCTGAACAGCCTGTTTAATCTCACTCCACATATCTAACGCTGATGTAACTAATTGGTTTACACGGTGATAAAAAAAAAACATGAAGTGTTTTGTTAGATACCAAACATTCCCAACTGTGAAGCATGGAGTCTGCAGCATGATGGTGTGGGCCAGTTTAACTGTGCCTGCGATGCAATTCATGAAACAGTGTGCTGCAGCTCCATTTGCCCATCAAATTTCCCTCAGGTAACCAGATTTGGGTAGAGAGGGCAAGCAAGACATCCCTGTCCTCTGCAGCACTCCAGCTCATTCTGGGGAATTGTGGTCTTCCTATGCAACAGGGGATGTATAGTATATTCTTTTTAAGAATAGAAAATGAATAAAGTCAGGATGAGTCTAAAATAACAAAAACGTAGAAACTTTCCACATACATACACAAATGTCGTTCAACTCTCCAGTGGATGTGTGCTGTGTGTGTGTGGAGCGCTGTGTCCTGACATGTGACGGAGGAGGAGGAGGAGAGGGGGAGTGAAGCAAAGCAAAAGCAAAGCAAAGGAAATCAGAGTAACAGCAAAGCTAGGGACATCAGTCAGGGAGGGACGGGGGGGACAGGCTGCCATGACCACTTAACTTTGCTCGTTTGCATGTAATATGTAGCAAACAGCGGTGCCCACATTGTCTCCCCCCCTCTCTGTTAAGTTCAGGGGCTGGTCAGCCTAGCTGCTACACGGAGGCCTGGATCTGTCTAAGTTTTTGTGAGTTAGCAGGCTGACGTTAGCTCCTGCTATTAGCCTGCTCTTGCTGGTGACTGAGAACAGCTTGTCAACAGCAGACCGACCTGGACGGGGCTGCTGTCGCTGCCTGTTTGTTTTAGCTGGTTGTGTTGGCTCAAACATCTTCTGAACCAGCGGCACTACTGAGAGAGGTAAGCTCACTTGGCAGTCCGCGGGACGCGCACGGGGACTTACGCTAACGGCTAGCTAGTAGGAGTACTCTGTCAACATCAAGGTTAGTCGCTAACTAGCTGAGTTAGCTAACTGAGCCGACTCGTCGACGGGTCGACTGGCTGGCAGAAGCGCCGAGGTGATGGGTTCAGTATAGTTTCCAACGTTTAAATGACATTTTGACGGATAACACGTCAGTAACGTGTTTGTCCTTTAATTTTAAACGCTTGTGTCTAGTAACAGTCCTGACAGTGAGTCACAGTCCTCATTAAGTTAGCAAATACTTCCGAGAACCAGTGTGACAGGTTGTCAGCTCGACTTGTCTCAACTCTTTTATCCTTTGCGTTTATTTCTTTATATATTTGAAAGGGGAAACACCCCTCCCTACTGTTCCGAGGTTTAGGCATCTTGTAACTACGTTATCAATAACAAGTACTTATTAGAGAATGTGTTTTTGTCACAACTTTATGATATACTTGTAAATGGGGGGATTATTCCACTAGAGGGCCTCGGGGTAAAAATATTACCCCCACCTCTAAAGCCCTCTGTCCCACCGCCAACACCAGCGAGCACAGTGTGTACATACATGCACCCTTTCCCCTTAAAGCATCTGCCGAGCACCCTGCCACGAAACTGGGGCAAACAACAATACAGATGTCCGATTTAAGCTGCAGTAAAGAGGGGGGAGACATGCTGGATGTCCAGGAAAAGCCACCCTAAAAGCTTCTTAGGAAGAGATGTGCATTTATTCCTTTTTTGCATGTGATTTGTAGGCTTTCACTCCATGTTTTGGTAGGCTTTTGCTCTTTGAGTTTGTGTTTAGTCTCAGACACTGAGCTTCTTGACAGAGTGAAGGCATGTTGAAGTTTTTGGTGCACAGCATTGAGCTAAACTGCTTATTTCAATTGCTGCAGGATTTTAGCATGCTGTTACGATTTTAGACTTTCAAGTGTGTCCTATCAGTTTTGCATACTGCCCAGCTAATATAAATCACGATCAGAACCTGTTTCTCTCAATACCATGCACTGGGGAAACACATACAGTAAAAGTTAACTGCTCTCTATTTGGGTATAACCAAGTTAATGCTAAATGAAAGTGCCCTTCTAAGTGGATTCACCAGCATGCTTATATAAAAACCTGACATTTGGAGACCTGTTTTGGTTCTGGTGCATGTTTTGACAAGTTGGTAACGGACCGTTAACCACTCACATGCTGGATCTGATGTCGAGCTACATGATATGCAGGCATTTGGAGCCACTTAAGAGTTGGCAGCTGTGCATTCTAGCTCTACATGTAGTTGACATGTTCAGTTATTATGCTGGTTTGATGCCTCTGTTACAGCTTAATAATTTTGTTTTCCAGAAAGCGGAGCTACAATGGCAACGTGACAAGAGATGAGCCGCTGAGTCAGCTTCAACAGGAACCATGGAAGGGTTTCAGGAAACTGCCACAGAGCAGCTTGACCGGGTGAATGGGTACAGTGAGCCGAAGTGCCCCCAGGACGCCGGTGATGTCAGGTGGACGCCACCGGAGGTAGATTCTGGGGGCTCAGACAGCTGTGGGGGCACAAGCGTGTCGGAACTGACTGACCTGCAAGAGTTAAAAACCAGGGAGAGTGAGGATGAGGGGGAGAAAGAGGAAGTGCTTTCTTCCAAAGACCTGAAAGGGGACCAGAAGAAACGACAGAAAGAGGATGAAAATCAGAAGGACAATCACGGCAAAGAAAACAGCAGTGCGTCATCCAGCTACACAGGTGACGTGTACGGACTTGACCCCTGCAAAACGGGTGATTAAATAGATAATTACTAAGCGTTAATATTCATGCGTTGTCCTTCATCTATTTCCTGTAAATGCAGACCTGTCCCACACTTCGTCCCCCTCGCTGTCGGAGCAGCTACGTCTCGGCAAAGAAGATAATTCAGGGTCTGGCATCAGTGTTGAGTGTAAGGTCTGCGGGGACAAGGCCTCGGGCTTCCACTACGGTGTGCACGCCTGTGAAGGCTGTAAGGTAACAGCGACTCTGCGCATAACTGAAGAGCATCTTAGTCGGATTAGAAAAAACAGCACAGTTTTTAGTTTGGTTTTCGATCTCAGTTGTTCAAGGCAGTTGTGTCGTCTCCGTTTCAGGGCTTTTTCCGGCGGACTGTGAGAATGAAACTGGAGTATGAGCGCTGTGAACGTTCCTGCAAGATCCAGAAAAAGAATCGCAATAAGTGCCAATATTGCCGCTTCCAGAAGTGCCTGTCTTTGGGAATGTCTCATGATGGTGAGTTTGAAGGTAGCTTTGCAAATTAGTTTAACCCATTTATATATTTCTGGTATGGAGGTGGATGTGGAAAATTTCTTAAATTAATTAATTTTCTTAAAATCTTTTTACATGATTTGTTGGTGAGAAAAAAAATGTCTCATCACCAATATGGAATTTTTTCTAAGAAAAGACAGGTGTCTTGCTTTCATTAATTAATGAATTTAATGATAATGTTTGTGTGTTTGCGCAGCGATCCGATACGGGCGTATGCCAGAGGCAGAGAGGAAGAAGCTGGTTGCGGGCCTGCTCGCAGAGGAGCTGAATGTCAGCAAACCAGGCGGCTCAGACCTGAAGACCTTGGCCAAACAAGTCAACACGGCTTACCTGAAGAACCTCAGTATGACCAAGAAGAGGGCCCGCAGTATTTTGACTGGCAAAACCAGCAGCACCTCAGTATGTGTCAGACATGGAAGTATTCAGACCTCACTTGCTAAAAAAATTCAAAATGTCCTGTCGATGAGGACCTTTTGCAGTCTGACAGCATCTCTCCTCTGACATAAAGTTAAGATAGAATCAGCTCAACGTTTTCTGTTTAGCAAGTTTCCTGAGTTCCTATCAGCTGGTGATTATGTTCACCCTCAGGAAGCAGGCCAAGATGAACAACACACTGCTGTTTGGGCTAACCAAATATTTTTCTTACAATTTATTGGTTTAGATGCTTTTCATTAGTTTACAACATTACGTTGCCATCCTTGAATGTATTGACAACCATCCCCACAACAGCAACAGCTCACTATTTAAGAGGTGCTTTTCTTTGCTTGTTCCTCTCCTGGCAGCCTTTTGTGATCTACGACGTGGACACGCTCTGGAAAGCAGAAAGTGGTTTAGTATGGAGTCAGTTAGTTCCAGGTGCACCCCTGACCAAGGAGATAGGAGTTCATGTATTCTACCGTTGTCAGTGCACTACAGTGGAGACTGTGCGAGAGCTCACCGAATTTGCCAAGTGCATTCCAGGGTTTGTGGACCTCTTCCTCAATGATCAGGTGAGTCACTGTGGCTACAACAACAAGCAGCCATCTGCATGTCTGCGCAGACAGTCAGAGACGGATGCCTCTCCGTTTGCTCTCTGCAGGTGACTCTGCTCAAGTACGGCGTTCACGAGGCTATTTTTGCCATGCTGCCATCCCTCATGAACAAAGATGGACTGTTGGTGGCCAATGGCAAAGGCTTTGTGACCAGAGAGTTCCTGCGCAGCTTAAGGAAGCCCTTCAGCGAGATCATGGAGCCCAAGTTTGAGTTTGCTGTGAAGTTCAACGCCCTGGAGTTAGATGACAGCGACCTGGCCCTGTTTGTCGCTGCCATTATCCTCTGTGGAGGTGAGGCTGCGCTGTTTACCAAGTACAATGAATTACTTTTTTTTTTTTTTCATTCCACTAAAGGATTCTGTTAGCCATGTACAGTGTGGCCTGAATCTTACAGGCGTCTTCAGTTTCCGGTTGGATTATTTAGTGGAGACTTTCAAATTATTCAAATTCAAACACATTCTCGTCCGTCCACATGAATAACATGAGTGGTGCTCTGTTTACTTCCTGAGAAACATACTAACAAGGACACTGAGTCAGAGCAAACAGCAGTTTTTGATGTTGTCTTGGCATTTTTTCAAGTTTCAGTCAAAGTTGAACCTTTAACTCTGCTCTGCTTTTCAGCCTCACTAAATGGCAGCACTCAACTTTAAAAATCTGCTTTGTTCTCACTTTAAATTGAAAACAAATTATTTAGCAGAGGCTTCAAATTGAAATGTAAATGCTAATAGCATAAAACGCATTAATGAGGAGCCAAGTCAAAAGTGCTCCCATGCAGGTTCAGCAGTTTTAGGTCTTATTTGTTACTATAATGATCAGTTATAACTAATTGATTCCTGCTCTCTGATTAATATGCCACCGTTGACCCTGCTGATCAATGTCCCAATTTAAAGGTCTTAACAGTGTAGCGCAATAGCACAGTGGAAATTAAGTTATCATAAAGGGTGTTTTTGTTTTTGTTTTCCCCGCTCTCCCAGATCGACCGGGGCTAATGAACGTGAAGCAGGTGGAGCAGAGTCAGGACAACATCCTCCAGGCCCTTGACCTCCACCTCCAAGCAAACCACTCTGACTCCGTCTACCTCTTCCCAAAGCTGCTTCAGAAGATGGCCGACCTCCGTCAGCTGGTTACAGAGAATGCTCAGCTCGTCCAAAAGATCAAAAAGACTGAGTCCGAGACGTCGCTCCACCCTCTACTACAGGAGATCTACAAAGACATGTATTAGAAATCTCCAGCACAGGCTGACTTTAGCAATACTGTTACAGACTGAATCTACGGTTACAAGAACACCCTGCTTTCGGTTCAAGCACTGTTCCACACACGGGCATGGATATTTAACTGGCAGATGAGGCAAATTCACTTGGTAGGGCTAACACAGCAGAGTAGTCTTCACAATATCAGCGTCAGCCTCAGTGCAGTCATGTGTTGTATGTGTGTGCACATTAGAGCATCTGGAATCATTTGCTGCAAGCCTTAGTTTCCCACAACGGTCACTTAACAGGAAGAACGATATGTTTTCTTATAGAGGCTGCTCTTGTTTCCTTCTCAGAGCGAAGCTGACCCCAGAGCAGTGTTTAGAGAGAGAGAGAGAGAGAGAACTTCTCCTCGTTCACCTCAGCTCTGTGTTTCGCTGCAAAGGGAACGCATTTCACGTTCTTACACCGATGGCATTATTTAAATGGGAGAAAGACATCTAGTTTATTTTCTTCTTGCAAGAGTGATGATAATTCGCAGACTTTTAAGTGAATCTGAAGATGCGCAAATTGCTATTTGTTTACATCGTAACTGTCATCATCGTCATCATCACTGACCACAACTTTGCCATTTGGTTTAAAGAACACAAACTGGGCTGGCTCTCAGTGCAGCTGTCTGTGCAATACCTTTTCCATTTGTCAATAAATGTGAGATCCAAGTTACTTAGCTTTCGTCTTCAAGCAGTCTACCCAAGTGGTAACGATTGGATCGTGCACAAATGATATCTTCTGAAGTTGAAACTATAAACACACAACCAACTGAAGTACAAGGGACAGCTTGATTTTTTTTTAAGTACCATTTTCTTTCTTTTGATATGCAAAATACAGGGAAATTAGCCATTCTCTGTTTTTTTTGGTTTGTTTTTTGTAATAATTTGTAATTGTTGATCACATTTGTAAGGGCAATACACAGATTCTTATATCATGTATTGATTTTGTTTTGTATTAGATGGCAGCATGTTTAGTTTAATTCCTTCCCAATATATCATCAGGAAAATTGTCAAGCTTTCTTTATCGGCAGTTTGGAGTCCATTGTGAAGTAGGACTGAAGTTAAACCAGCACACTAAATCTTATTTGATGACAAATGAAAGTTAATGCGCAGCATCTCGTATCAAATGCTGCTTTTGTATTCAGCATATACACAATCCTAGATTACTACTCCTTTTGTCTGTCTTTTTTTTTTTTTTTTGCAACCGCCTCCCTGTTATCCAAATCCATTTGTCTTCGAAGGTTTTTCCACATTATGATTCTTCCATTTCTACTGTACGCCATTTGAAATGACTTAATTGTCAGCTCTGGTGCACACTTCAGCAGTGTCCCCTTGTGCTTTTACCCTGTTTTGGTCCTCATCTACCTCTACCGAAAGATTATTCCTCTTGTTTAATCCCTAACATTTGTTTTGCCTTAATTTGTAATATTAGTGCACATGGCTATATCACGCAATGTGCCATCGTAGCAAAGGGTGGAGATTACACCAAAAAGTGTGAATAATCTACCTCTGTGCGTGAGTGATGGGTTGACATGTTTAAGCAAAAAAAATGTTGCGACTTGAAATATTTTCTACATTATTGTCACATAAAACTTGTGCGGCACTAGCTTAGTGGTTTCCCTCGTATAAAGATTGTTAGAAATACTGGTGATTTTTTTCTGTATTTTTTTAATGGTAAAAGTTGATAAAGTTTGTTTGACGCGCACAACTGAGGAACTTGGTTAATTCGGCACAGTTAAACCCTTGTTTGATTGACACACGAGTTGACCAATGGGATCGGCTGCAGGTGGGGAAACAACTCCGACGTCCTGCATCTATTGGTTCGTTGCTACGCGAAGTAATCAGGAGAGTCAGCTGTAAACTATTTAGGAAAGCGAGTATTTAGTTTGGCGGCTTGCTCAAAACACAGAGGATGGACCCAGCACGTTACGGAAGTATCTGTAGGTAAGCGACTAAGATAAGAAAAATGCTTTTCTAAAAAGTAAACATCTTGTTTTTTGGTTATTTCTACAAAATATTAAGAACGATTATTTGACTGATGAATAACATTGTGAAAGTGACCGAGGTCGTGGTCGTTAATTAACTGTTGTCCGGAAGTTGGAAGTCTTCATAAGTTGGTCGTTAAGATTTTGCGTCGTTGCCACTTATCCATGTTGTTGAGTAGCTCCTCACTAGTTTTGTTAGCCTTTATTAGAATTATTCCTAAAAAGTCAACACTTTACTGTTAGCTCGATTCTTGAGTTTGTAACCGAGTGGTTACACTAACAGATTTGAATGGAAGCTGTTCGGGAAACCTTGTGAGAACAGTGTTGTTGTGCAGCTAAATTGAGCAACTGCATGTAAAACGGGCTCATTTCCAGTTAGCACGTTGTGTGAACGTTTGGGGCTCTTTACAAAAACAGCCTCGAAGCTTTATTACTTTTAATGCGTTAAATGTGTATATGTTATTAATTGAATCGCGGCAGGATTTTTTGTTGTCATGGAGAAACTGTTTCTAGAATTTAGGAGGAAAAAAACCTTTCATTCTTGGCCTCGTTGGCTCCCCTGTGGAGAAGCTATTTGGATTAATTGTCAGCAAACCCCGGCATAATGTATTCATCTATACGTTTTGTGCCCTTCCTTGGAGGGGATGAGTACCCTGCCTTTATAATTAATCTGAATGTAACCTTTAACAATGAAAATGGTTCAACCTGCCCTTCCTGCAACACAGTCTTCTTCAGCAAATGTATATCCTCCAGTGTGCCACTGCTTGAGGCATTCACAAATGTCTATTTTCAGAGTATTAATCCTGCTGTAATGATTTTTAGATTGCAGTAACTTCTCTAAAGTTTGGATAGCAATTCCTAAACTTCAGCAACTCTTTCTCCTGCAGACATTTCATGAATGGCTCTTGCAGATTTGGTCCTAGATGCAATTACCGACATGAGTGGCCCGTCATACAATCATCCCAAATATGTAGGTACTTTCAGAAAGGGGGATGCTGGTATGGTGACCGCTGCAGGTAAGCAGCCTTTCCTTCTTTACTTTTGAAGTAACGAGTCAAATTCCATAGCTGATCCAGTGTTTTCCAACGGTAGGTATCTCCATATCCATCAGCCTCCAGTCGGCCCAGCTATGGCGGGTAGAAGGGGTTCGGTGCCTGCTGTGTCCTCCTCCAGTGTGGCCCATGTCCAGTCTGGAAGAAGAGGGTCAGAACCAGCTCTTCTGCGTGCTGCCGTAATGTCCAGGCAGGAGTGCAGTGGATCAGAGTTGACAGCCAACCGCTCCGGTATTCGGCGCGAGCTTGGCCAACTGCCAGACAATATTGCAGAGGAGTTGTCAAAAGGTATTGGCTCTTTTATTTAAGATGAAACTGTTGATCAGCTCCTTTTTTATACTGTATTGAATGTGTCTTTGCAGAAAATGATGCAGAGTCTATTGGGAGCTCAGTGGTAGCCCAAGCCGGAGCCTGCCATGGGAGAGATGAGGTTTTTCATCCGTGTTACTTGCGCTATTTGTATGAAAATTATATTGACAAACTTGCCGCTTGTGTTCATTTTCTGATTCTGGTGCATGTGTTTTCAGGAGACTTCTTCATCCAGGATACACGAGGACGGGGCTTCAGCTGGGGCTGCAGCAGCCTCTTGTACCAAAAGTGACACAGAGGAAACTGAGGCCTTCCTGCAGAGTAAAAATGTGACCTGTGGTATCTGCATGGAAAAAGTCTATGAAAAGGCGGACAAGAAAGACCATGTTTTTGGGATCCTGCCAAACTGCAACCACCCTTTTTGTTTAGACTGTATCGCAACCTGGAGGAAAACAAAAGATTTTGGACCAGATGTTGTAAGGTAGGCTTAAGTTTCACTGAAAGTGAGCCACACATGGCGGCGTTGAGCTGATGTCCCCGTTTGTCGTTTGTCAGGACTTGCCCTCAGTGCCGAGTGAGATCTGCCTTTTATGTGCCAAACAAATATTGGGTTGAAGGGCCAGCAAAGGAAAGTGTAATTGCTGCATTCAAGAAGAAATTCAGGTGAAGTTTTGTTGGTATAACATCAATTAAATGTTTGTTGCCTCTGCACAACTTTTTTTTTTTTTTTTTTTTTTTTTTTTTTTTTTTTTTTTT